AACGGGCCTTTTTATTTTCCCCGGGGGGGTTTGAAAAATTTGTTTGGGGGGGCCCCAAAAAAGGTTCCGGGGGTTTTTATTTTTTTTTGGGGAAAATTTTTCGGAAAAAAGCCCCCAGTTTTTGTTTTTTTGGGAAAAGGGGGGGGGGGGTTTTTTTTTTTTTGGTTTTTTCCCCCTTTTTGAAAAAATTCCCCCAATGGAAAAAATTTAAAAAATTGGGGTCCGGGGGGGGGGGTGGGGGAATTTTTTCCCCCCACCCCCCTTTTTAAAGGGCCGTTCCCCCCCCCCCCCCCCCCCCCCCAAACAAAATACGTGCGTCCATATGCATACGTACCTTTGGACGTGCATCCAGTGGCTGAACAGGTCGATGAACATGAGGAGCAGAAACAAAAAGGCGGGCGTTCCGCCTTCGTACAGCCTCGACAGGACCATCAGAAGGCCCGCCGTGGAGCAGCGGTCCGTAACCATGTCCAACACGGCGCCAAACTTGGAAGCTGGACAGAGAGAACCAGCGTGAGCGAGACACACACACAACGAGAGAGACAGAGAGAGAGACAGAGAGAAAGAGAGAGGGAGAAAGAGAGAGACAGACAGACAGAGATAGAGACAGACAGACAGACAGGCAGACAGACAGACAGACAGACAGACAGACAGACAGACAGAAAGACAGACAGACACACACACAGAGAGACGGAGAAACGACAACACAAAACCACACCCTGTTAAACGGTCGGGTGCATAAGGCGGGCTGCTCATGCGAACGCCTTCATGGGTTCTCTCGGGCACCAGATAGGCAACAACAGCCTTACAACAGTAGCGGTCTCCGAAGCGGAGTGTTTAGAAAATGCTGGCGTTTGACTCAAGCAGAAAATGCTCGCATTTAACTCATGCTGGTCGACCCTCCACCCGGTTGTGATTTGCTGCACACACACAAAAATAGCGCAAGTATACCTCGGGCACTGCCAGCTCACATGCGGCGAGAAAACCTGCATATCCTGCTGCGGTCTAAAGTACCTCTGCCCATCGTCGTCGTGAACCTGCTGTCACATACGGTCGCCGAAGGAATCGTAGCTGTGCCTCAACGCATGACTCACATTGGTTGAAATACCTAGCTACGGCCCCATCCACCGCATCTCCCACGAAGGCAAGAACGTAGCACACAAAGCTGCCCAAGCAACAGAGACAATCGGAGGCGGAGCGTCGTCAAGAGACAGACAAGCAGTGGGAGGGGGCCGACAGACGAAAAAGCAAGGAGAGCGTGGGGTGGGGGGGGGATAGCACAACTTAGGGGCTGTATACAGATGGCCTTGACGGGCTAACCTGCACCTACACTGTCGATTGTTTCATTGCGTGTGACTTCAAGTGAACAAACCCCCTTCCACACGGCGCGGCTGGTATGTAGAAAGTGCAATCCGACTTGGGAAGCCGTACGGTTGGACGTCGCACAGCGTAGTACTTTTCTTCCCAACGATGTTCCACTCGGGAAGCTATCTTCCGCGGCGGCAGAACGTCAAAAAAATTGTACCACGCAGCGTACTTCGAAGCAGCAACGGAGAAATTGTTCGTGCCGAGGTCAAATCGTGTGTTACATCCGCGGGATGAACGCAGCGACGTCGCAGATGAACGTAGCAGTCCAGTGCTGGGGACAAAGGAATGTCACTCTGCGACTCTTCCTGAAGCAAGACACAGGTAGTTCCGCCCTGGACTTGTCTGTCTATCTCTGTCTCGCCGTCTCGTTGTCTCTGTCTGTCCCTCACCTCTCTGTTTAGACTCTGTCTTCCTCTCCCTTTAGACTCTGTCTTCCTCTCTCTCTCTCTGTCTGTCTCTCTCTCTCTCTGTTTCCCTCTGTTCTTCTGTCTTTGTCTCTCTGTCCCTCTCTCACCTGGCTTTCCAGTTGGTGTCGGCGAGATAGTAGCTCGCTAGTACAGCGATTATACGGGCGTACCCTGCGTGAGACATGTAAGCAAGGCAACCAATCAGCGGCAAGATTGTCAACACGAGTAATGGTTTTCAGAGGACTGATCAAGAAGGAGGCCGTAAGGAAGGAGCAATGCGCAAATCCTGGCACCAGTAGAGAACCCCCCGTTCCAAACGAATGCGTCTACCGTACATGTTGTTCGGAAGGTGGGCGGTCGGACGCCGGACTTTCGTACACTGTCAGACTGTCAGACACGGCGGTTCCTAACTGCTTGTGGTTTGGCAAATCATGAAGTTCAGGGAGTACGGGATTGGGTACCACGCGCGAACATCAAGAGAAAAGAACGGCAAGAGAACTAACTGCCAACAGGTCTTGTGGGCGAATAACTACGCCAAGTCACTGCCGTACATATTGTAGTAATAGTCAGCGTGCGGGGTCGGAGAGAGAATAGAGCGGAGGGGGCGAGGGGCGGACAACCGCCAAAGACGCGGAACAACTATTTACATGACACTGCTGTTGTGTATCTTCACATACCACACAACCACTTAGGACTTAGGACACGGCAGTTGGTTACCCTACCTCACGCTGAGCAGCAAGTGCTGGCGGAATGACTGCACCACCTTGTCGGTATCTTTCCTGGTGCTGCAAGCTGACACCACGCCAGTGCTGCAAGGACAGCAGCAGCAGCGGGATTGGATGCTGTACTCTGCTGGTACTGCTGCTCAGAACTGCGTTACAGGAGTTACCTATTATAGTTTCCTTCGCTCTCTGTCTCTGCTGCTATTCCAGTAAGAGTACTCACCTATGAGGTTGGGAAAGTAGAATAGAACGGCCCAGGGGGAAGGTCCCGCCATGCCTCTCCGTCCCTCTCTTGCGAGCTCTGCACACCTTCCGTGCCCACCACAACTAACCTAACGCGGGCTGCGCGATACACAATAAGCGAGAGGGAGAGCGCGAGCAGCGAGAGCCGGGAGAGCTGGTGGGGGGGGCTCTCCGAAAACACTCGACAAGGGACATACGGAATGAATACGAACTGTGAGCCCCCCGACAAACTTCGTGCTGGCTCATCTCCTCATCTCCATATCTTCCATCACAACTCGTGTCTCGGTTGCTGTCCGGCCTCTGATCACGCTGTCGCTGCTGCGGATATTGAACTGCGAGAGCCTCCGCTCTCGTCGCTGCTCTCCCTACTTTAGTCAGATCCTGGTGAGACTACTTTAGTGTTTTTTAGGTGTCGTTTGAACTTTTTATCAGGATGACGCGTCCTCGAGAACAAAATGATTTTCCTGCAGCTGTGTTGGCGGACGTGCACAACTAAACGGGCTGCTGTCTACGTTCCTCTCCGTGAGGGCTTGCCCGCAAGCCGCACTGCTCGTTTACGTAGCCTCTCTTCCTTGAGCTTGTTTGTGCAAACGACTGTAACCCCAGGGGCTGTCGTACGGAGTTGATGGCATATCTTGCAGGTTCTTCGGTTGTCGATCATGATTCGTTTGAAGCTGCTGCGTACCATGCTCAATAGCTGTACGGGTGCTACATCGGTGTCCCTTGACTACTGGTATTTCGCAACGGCATGCGTAGAGCTTCTTGAGATCGACCCGAAAGCCGCAAATCAGCCGTGCACGAAAAGCGCCTATAGACCAACACCCACAGCCAAAAATGTAAAAAGTCACCTCGACAGGTTGCACGCCCCAACCGTGTCGATATCGTATTGCACCGGAATATAACGTCCCTCCCTCCCAAGTCAAATCCCTCCGCTCAAGTCCCCTGGAGTTCACACCCAAAGTGAATTTCCAACCCCCAGCCTTACCCAGGCCCCCAAATTTTTCAAGACACAAAATGAACACATGAATAGTGTATACGTCAACCCCTAGTCTAGAGAGCGTAATGGATGCAAGGTACAGGTCAACAAAAAACGCCCACCACCAGAAGGCGAGGCAAGGGCGGGTGGGAGAGACGAATCGTTTGTAGCTCATGCCACAACCCCCTTTCCCTGATACTGAAATTTCAGAGCAGGAGGAACAGAAACTGAAAAAGATTTTTTTTGCCCGTACAAAACGCCTGCTTCCAAGAGCGCACAGGTTGTTCGCGCCGTGGTGCCCCAGACAACAGCGACAACACCGTCGAAACAATACGGAGCTAGTTGGAACCGAGCGGAACAACATGTCCGACGCGGTTTCGAGAGACATCGGCCCCGCGGTGCTGTCGCAGCTCGATAACGAGGCCGTGCGAACATACCGGATGAGCTACCGGAGGTTCCGCAAGGGAGACAGCAGGGGGTCGAGGGGCGAGGATCCTGAGGTAACTGCACGATCGTGATCACCAGCTGCAAGCTCGCACACCTACCCGGCGAGCGGTTGGCATTGCGCAAACCACTGGACTATTTCGCCCAAACCGCCTTTAACCTTGTTCGTGGAATTTCCTTCGCTTGATTCGCTTTTCGACGTGTATCTGGGACTGGCATTCCGTAATTGTACTAAACAAAGGAGGTTGTTGACCCCTCTATTTGCATAGGTCTCAACGACCCGGCAGATCTCAAATGACTACCGTAAGGTTGCGAGTCAGCGCACAGCGGTGCGATCGATTTTCACAGCGTAATTTCTCCACAGCCAGAAGGTGCGAGCGCCAACTGATACTTCTCAGGAAAAGCTCTCGATAAGATATTTCCAAAACCGTCCTTTTCGACAGTGGTAACCTCCTGGTTGTGGAGAAATTACGCTTAGAAAATCGCTCGCGCCCCTGTGCGCTGACTCGCAACCTTACGGTATATCATTGTCCGGACAGAAGCGGCTATCACCATCGATACCTCTGCCATCACCACCACTGTCAACAACAACAGCAACAACAACCACATCATCACTCCCATCAACTTGCGCTACCTTCATAGGCTCCAGCCGACCACGTCGTCCCGGACGAGCTCGTGCCCGAGGTAGACGGTGACCATGGTGTCCCCGGCCTTAGGTATGTGTGTATCACATCTCACGTTCTTGCGCAGCGTTTGGGACTTCTTGTCCGAGTGTTGATGCGATATGTGTACTGCGTGAATGTTCGGCGGTATTGCCATCGGGGTTTCACTGTGACTGAAAGTTATTGTCTGACCTCCGTGCATCATCAGTACGTAACGACGGAAGACCTTTGATGTATGGTGGATGTTCTTTCTCTGCCTCTCTCCCTGTCGTAACTTGTGTCAGCCTGTGACGACGCAGGCCGTTTCTCCGTTCGTAACGACGATCGCGGGATGGCGACTGAGGATCTCGGTTTCCGTATCTGCAGAAACTCCCTAGCGGCAAATGGCGATGTATCGAGAGATAGGTTGGGTTGGATGCATCCTGAGAGGACTGGTATTCCCCCCGTTGCCCTTCCCCCTTCGCTCCCCTTCCCCCCTTCTCACCCTCTACCCTCTCGCGGGACTCACGCCACCACTTGTAACGAGGCTAATGATATCTCCCTCGCGCGCGGGGGGTTGTGGACGTTTGCTGGTCTGCTGAACGACCGGGAAGGCAGGCGGCTGCCGTCCCTAGTTGTAATTGAGAACGAATGCTTCCGTTCTATATAGTTTCTGGCAGTGCTTGTTGGGCTTGGCGTGATGATGGAATTTACGGAATTGCCGACTTGGTATCAGGTGAGAAAGAACCACCACCTCCACGTCAGCAACAGCACCAACGGTAGCAACCGCAGCAGCAGTGAAACAACAATAACAAGCCTCGAGCGATATGCACGTATGTCGCCTAGACTCATGATCGATCGTGTGTCGCCGGCTGGTTGCAGCGCGGCTGAGATCTTCAACGCGGAGATGTTCGACGCCTTGAGCCGGTACCGTATGGACTACCGCCGGCACCGCATGGGGGCGGCGCGCGGAGCTAAGGGAGAGATCACCGCGCTGGCCATGGGCCCCACGTCTTTGACCGGGAACAAGCGGAGCTCGATGAAGGTGTGCCGCAACAAGTTTGGCTGAGTTTTTTGTATTACGTTCTTGGTTTGACACATCAAACTCATCTCCTCCACAGGTTAGTGTCTGGGATGGATTAGCAATGAATTTATAGCATCAATGATATTATATTTCTTTCTCTCGCGAGCACCGCAGGGGAAATGGTGGATAACTCATACGTATACAGTGTTGCCCGGGTTGGAGGGTCAAACAGGTACCAAGGTGTGACTTCCCGCCCAGAATTGATACGACGAAGGAAATCAAGTAGACTCAATCATTGTTGATTTCTCGCCCGTGGTCATGAAATGAGAAGCGAAAGCTCATGCAAGTCGACGAAACAAATGTCGGGAGCAACCCTTTCGGCGGGACTGCAGCCCGGGGCATCCTTGGTGGAGGTTAGATGTTCTCGAGAAGGGTCGAGGTGCGCCCTTGTGTGAAGCAACGAACACGACGACATTAATGACCAGGGTAAGGCCTCTTGTCTTTCGCCGTCTCTACCCCCGTCCGCTCTGTTCCCAGCTCCCCGTAGGTCAGCTGTCGGCCTTGGCGGCCTTCAGGAAGGCTGCCCTGCATGCCGCGGTGGCTCGCCTGACGACGTTCCACGTGCACATCGGCGCGGGAAGGCTTGGCCTTGGACTGGTGAGGGATAGGGAAAAGGGACTAGTCACGGGCGGGAAATAACAGAGAGGGATGAGCCATTCGAGACGGAAGGGGGATCTAGATACACAGGGGAGCCATAGATTTTGGATGGGATAGGGGGAGTATATTTCGTCAAAACAGGCGAGAGGAGCCTCGCTTTCTGCATTGTGGGCCAGATCCGGTGTTTTTAGGCTGTTGTCCCCTGTCGAAGAATTCGGTGCTGCACCGATGGATGTATCACGTGCCGTTCTTCAGCTCCAGGTGTGATGTCTTCTCCGCCCACCTAAACTAAAGACCGCTCGAACTTCCCGTCGCCGTGACCTCTCAATATTTTCCTGTGATGTTGCATCCTGTGATATTGGCATGCCTCTCGGTGGTGGATTTAGGTTTTGTGAAGCTGGGGTCGCATGGATACTAATAGTGTGCTTTATGCCCTTCGTTTCTCCGTGCCTTTCCGTCCCTGCGCCAGGTCATTCCTGCCATCCACGCTAGCGGAAAGCCTTATGCCATCGTCCAGCGGCCGTCTAGAAGCTGGGCTGCGGTTACGGACAAGGTGCGCCATTCGTTGCGTCGTATTTTTGTGTCAAGCGGGCCGGAATAGCGATTCATGACATCGACTCACTGATTTTTCCCGAAAACATTTACGAGGACAGCCCCGGCAAACCAAACGCGTGGACGATGGCTGAGCCTCCGCGACGCACCTTCACAAACCCGTACCTCCTGCACCAAGAACAACGGTCATAATCAAAGAAACAGCGGGCGTACAATTGAGAGGGACTAGTGCAGAATTTGTTTTCGTCTTCTGGAATGTGGAGGCCGGGAGGGTAAGGGGCCTTCTGGCCGCTTGGGGTTTCGAACCAAGGACTGAAGCACTCTTGACGCCGACCGTTTGGGAGAGCACCGGGCATTGGACGGCGGTGGCGCCTCTCCTCGGCTTCCCGATCCACCGGCCCGTCTCACCCGCTTATGTGACACGAGAGTCTCACCCGCTCATGTGACACGAGAGTCTCACCCGCTTACGTGACACGAGATGAACAGCCCCGAGATGCGCAGTCCCAACACGCAAGATGGCCGCCACGATAACTTCTTTCGCCTGTTGTATACCCACAGAAGAGATTTCAATGCCTTGCTGCTTACGAAGGAAGTTAGAGGACGTGGACCATGAACCCGTCGACAGGGTGACAACATCTTCACCGCTACGTGTGATCGAAAGAAAGAACTCGCGAAAAGATTCTACACCGCTAGAACGAAAGGGGGCCTCCAGATTTGCTCGCTCCATGACACGGCGACTCGGGGAGCGAGGGCCTATATTTGGTACCCACAACCATAAAATGGAGTCATTTCAAAAGCTCAGGTGCCAACATTGGTAAGAATTCATACATTCTTGCTGAGACTCTTGACGTCTGTTCGTCGATCAGTCGGTCCTAGCGGTCTCAAGCGAAGCTCTCGTTCACTTTCACGCCCCCGTTTCGTCAACATGTCCGCTCGAAGTTGCTTGGCATTCACGAGACAGCACTCCGTGAGCGCGGTGTAATAACACACAACACAGTATATGCGAATCGCACGGGACACGAGACCCCCAAGTACAACACCTGACGCCGACTGATATGGCTTCAACTCGGGGCGCGGTTTCGCGCAGGAGGGCACGGAGGTGGGCCTGAAGGTGAACGGAGAGCCCACGATCGAGAAGATGGACGTCCTGAAGAACGGGATGGTGGGAGGTGTTGCGGCGCTCCCGGGGGGCGGTCTCGGGGAAGAATCCCGAGTGTTTGCCTGCACGGACGAGGCCGAATCTCTCAAGGCGCTGGTGAGACGGGAAGAGTCGGGGTTTGACTCAAGTGCCGACATTCTCTTGTCCTGACTGTAGGTCTCGCTGGGCATGTCCCTCGACTTCTTCCGATAGAGTTGGACCACACACACAACAGGTATTGAACGCCTCTCGTTGGCCTTGTCGGCATTCCCCCCCCCATCCGCTTCCGTCCGCTCCTTGTCGCTTGACAAAAGGCCGAGCGAGCGACCACCTTCAGCATCTCGCTGGGTCCCTCGATGTCGGACGTGGTCCTGCCCCTGCTGTCCTGCATCGAGCCCAAGGCGGACGGGGAGCGGCCAGCCCTGTACGCCTGCGAAAACGACCACGATGCCGTGCACAAGCTCCAGGAGGCCCTAGAGGGTGTGTGCGTCTTCCTGTATAGTAGTGGGCCTTAAGAATGGGACGGTCGGAAGGCACCGAGTCAGTGAAGCGGGCCGGTTTCGGACAGGATCTACAGGCGTAGGCGTCGTATTGGACCAAATTCAGAGACGAAAACCGTGGAGCTAGGAATTCGGCCAATCTGCCTACCTGGTTCGATGCAAGTTGGACATTGTGGAAAATATGGGTATTGATGGGGGGCGAGACTTCAGGAGGCCTAATCCAATCCATATGACTCAACGAGCGCAGCTCGAGGAAACCAGTAGACCGTTGGACGAGCCAGCTCGCACCGCCCCGACTGCCTGTTGGAAGTGGAAAAGGTTGTCTACACGAAAGCACTACGGTCCCACAACACGACCTGCTCCCCAAACTCCCAAGCGCCGCTCTCGGAACCCTTTACAGCTGTATGCGGTCGGTGGTAAGGCCCATCTGGTCGGAGAAAGCCCGATGCGATCCGTTGATCCCGGCTCGATAGGGACGCATTGGTCTTCGACCTGGGGGTAACGGCCATATTAGTTAGCCCGCCCCCCCGCTCCTGATAGTCCGACAACCACGACCGTGTAAGGAATCGAGAACCACCGTTGTCCCCTCTGGCTCGTCCTTGGCTTTCCGCGGCAATCGGCAACACGTGCCCCCCGTGTGTACAGGTCGTGTGGACGTCGTGTCTTGCATGGTCGACCGCATCTGCACGGAGCGGACCATCACGGCGGACTGGATAGAGATGGGCACCGAGCCCTCGAGCGGCGAGATCGTCGTGATCGCGCCGCCGCAGGGAGCCCCGCTGCCCCCCTTCAAGGGAGACCACGTCCAGGCAGGTCGCATTAACAAATGTGCTCGCCCACCTTGTTGCAGTTTGTGCCCCGGGAAAAATGTTGTCGGTGCCGAAGTGACGAGCGAGGTCCGCGAATTTGTTGCTGAAAATTGAGCATATGTCGTAATTTGCCAGTGTGTAGAATCCCGATGCAAGTAGTCATCTGTTTCATGTGACTGGCCGCTGGCCCAGTGTTGTCATCGTACGTCCGAGTCTTAAGAGTGGCGAGCCACGGTTGTTCTCACTCTGTTACGGCACGGGTTTGGCGATCCCTTGAGGGCTTGTTGCACTCCGTCGCGCGAGCCGTTGCACCACCCGCCGAGGGACCATGCCGGTTCATTTGGAATGTTCTGTTTAAGTGCCCCCCCCCGTACATTTGGTTTTGTCCACTTTCCATATCTTCGAGCTCGAGACTTTTGTTCTTCGTTTCGCATTGTATGACTGGACAACTTGCTGTCTGAGACACGTTTTCGGTGTGTTTGATCTTGGGTCCATGCCAGAAGACGAGTGGGTATAGGCCCGAGTCGTCCTGTAGCCAACGAGCACACACCATTTCCCCAGACGTGTAAGGATCAAACCAGAGGAAACAATTCTCTGTCGAGATACATTTTGAAGCTCCCGGAAGGATGCCCCCGCGCCCGTTCTCTTCGTATGTGCAGGCCGTTCTCCGTACCAGGTATGTTGTATCTCGCTGTCCTCTGCCCGCGGCGGACTTTGTTTCGCCGTTCATGCCACGCTACTTTATTTCTCTGTCGCTCACGTTCTTATCTTCTTTGTGACGTCGAGCAGATCCCACGAATTCCGGCCGAGGCCGAGTACTTCTGCCGTCGCAAGATCCTCCTAGTGAATGGTATGCTCGGTGTTGATCGCGGGTTTGGCAGAGATTCGAGATACCAAGCGAAAAATTCCACTGGACAGCGTAGGCTGGCGCCAGAATAGATGCGCCGAAGAATATATTTATTTGAGTACGACGGTGCCTTCGTGTTGATAGTCCTTTCATTGGTGGCATGCATAGTCGCGTGTTCTTCGGCTTGCCTCTGTCAACATTCACAACAACGACCACACCACAAGAACGTTGTGGACGACACCGACAACAACTCTCGGAACGACCGCGACATCGCCGAGAGCGTGACGACTATCTTGGCGTGCTTTTTCGTCTGCCGGAGGCAGGCATGCACACCACGCTGGCCTTCATCACGCTGTGCAAGCTCGAGAGCGGGGTACTGCAGGGGGACGGGTGGAAGGAGCATATCTTAGTCACGCCGGCCACCGCCACGGAACAGGAGGTAGGTGTGATGGCTGGTTGCGGAGCAATGGCTACGCCTTTTGGTTCACACCTCAAACAAGCAGCGCGATGGCGCTGGCAAGCAGGCACGTGGTGTTCCTTAATCGTTTCCTCTTGTCGAAAATTTAGCGTTGGTGAACCATATGCCGTACTTCGCCCTCTTTTAACGTAATGCTTCCCGCTGTCCTTTTTCTGTTTGTCCGAAGACGTTTCTACCGAACGCACTGCACCCCCCCCCCGTTCCCCGCGCAAATCTCACAACTGCATTTGCAATGCACGAACTGTACTGACTTGGTTTCAGAATCTGTTTCGCGATGATCGCACAACAGCGAGCAAACAACTCTCCCGCCCCCGCCCTGCAGAACGCCTTGGTGTGGAGGTGGGCGGTGGCGCGGGTGATGTACGTCATGTGGGAGCATGAGCCGGACATCATCAAGGCGGCTCATAACATCAACACGGATGAAGAGGTTTGTCGTCTTCCAACGTGTGATCGACGTGGGTAGCGTCGCATGCGCCGCAGTTGTTCCGCAGAGATCAGGACGAGATTTCTATTTGAAGGCCACAACCATGTCGACATTTCCCGTCTACACAGCGCGAGGTCGCTACTGGGTACATCGGTAGATGCGGCGGCCTGTCACCTGCCGAGCTTCATCATCCCCCCGTGCGGTCGGTAGTTTTCGTCGTTTTCCTTCCTGAACGAGTTCCTTCGCAGTACGCGCTGTTCGCGCGTGAAGATACATGCTTCGACGACAAAACCGAAACCCGAAACCCGTCGAACGGCTTCTCTCCCCCCCTCCCTCTCCCTCTCCTGCACCTCCTCCGGTTAAACAGCTTTTGCTGTTTGTTGTAGTCAAATATTCTGACAGCGCTGCTTCTTAGCTTCTCGCCCCGACCCGCTAGAATTCCGCCGCCTTGTGTTCGTTCTCGTGTGTTCCGACGAAGTGCTACAACTCACCCCATCGAACGGGATATAGTCTCTTACGGGAAACGCTTCTTTGATGTCACGTGTATTGGTTGAAAGTGTCATTTAGTTTCCGCGTTACTATCCCCAAACATCATGTACGGTCCGCTACAACAGTTTGATAATATTTGATTTGATAATATTTGATACTCCTTCTCGCTCGCGGCCTACATAATCGCAGTTATGCCGTACCCTGCTGAGATACGCCAAGACCACCCTGGGGAGATTCAGTGGGGTGAGAGCAAAGGGCACACAGTGTCGGTAATCCCGGGTGTCTTCGAGTTCGGCAGGCAGTGCTCCATTTGTGCTTATTTCGACAAAGGGGCATCCTATGCTGTTACTTATCGTTCTTTGAGAGAGCAATCGCCCGAGATATCGCCGTTTGAGACAGGGAGACAAGGAAAGCATGATTGAGTAGACGAGAGAAGCACCGCCTGCTCCAACCAGCCTACCAGATATGCCACCTAGCAAGGACGGTCTTCGAAAGCATTCCCCCTCATTGGCAGTGAAACCTGTAGGCAGCGCTTTTCCTCTTCTTCTCCAACAATGCGGTTCGTATGCACACGCAAGCTTGGTGACACAAGGTCCGGCCTAGTGAACGCCCCTATTCCATGTTTGAAAAATATCTGCGGCTTCATTTCATCTCCTTTCGGTGATGTTTTGGTTTCCCCGGTGTCAAGCTTGTTTTTGTGGCAGACCTTGACCTGTCCGCTGTTGGTTTCAGCAATGGTGTGCCTGGTACGAACATGCAGGCAGGTCGTCTTGGGTCCCTCACAAAGAGTAGGGCAGGAGAGAAAATCTCCGCTCACTCGTCCGACCTTCAAAATCTTTGTAACGTGCTTCGCGGCTTCGGTTGCCTCTACCATTTGCTGAGCGCAGCACGCTGCGTTTTTGTTTTGTTGTGTTTCTGTTTGCTAGGTCGAAGACAAGGCCGGGAGGGTGCTAGGCGGAGGCGTGGCCAACCGTTTCGAGGGAAGGCTCAACATGATTAAGGTCGGGTCTTCACAAACCATTTCTTTTTATTTGTCCACCCAACGATTCGTTTTATCCACGTCCGAACACAGTGTAACACATGAACCACCTGTTACTCGGCGGTCATTGTTGACGCCGTTGAGTTGAGATTATTTTTGGAAGAATTTTGTGTACGGGCTTCTCCCGCATTCTCGGCATCATCCATGCATGTGATTTCCTTGTTTCTCCCATCCTCTTGAGTGAAGTAGAATTGGCATTTTGAGACATTCTTGTTCTTGTCTATGACGCCATTTGCGCAAAATTAGGTCTTAGTTGGAGAATTTGTGAATCCAGACGTCTATAACTTTATCCTGTTGACAACTACAGTATTACAGCTCTGTTCGGCACGGATGTGACTGTTCTGTGTACTATCCACGATGGTTCAATGGCGGGGTTACGCTCGGATTTCACGTATGTTGAGCATGTTGATGTACTCCACATACTCCAAGCACTCAGTTACGACACACTTTGGGCATCCTTCCAGCTATCCATAACCTCTTCAATGTCTAGTTTTCTTTGGGTGCTTCCATGTACATTCAACTCTTTTGGCTGCGAACCCAAAGTCGCTTGCAAAGTTGCTCGCAGAAACTCGTACAATAATGACGTGTTATCGTTTCTTCACATCCGTTACTCAGCCCATTGATGAACTTTCATGTCCGTCGGTTGTCTTTAGCAGGTCGCAATCCAACCCCTGATATTGGAGTTGGTGACGTCCATAGTTTACCCACCACTCCAGCTAGTCTATGCCCCCAAGCTGTCTGCGGGACATTGGAACAACGGGCCTTTCTGTCATCAAACAAGGTTGAGATCTCATATAGACTAGACTATAGCGAAACTTTCGCTTAACCCAGACAGCTGTAGCTCCTTGTTCACCTCACAACTTGCCCGCCCGCCTTCCCCGGCTTTCATGCACCGTTCGATTCGATGAATCTCCAGTCGTTCTTGGAGAACGAACCGCCCATGCGAACAGGTCTCCGCGCCAAGCTCTTGAAGCTCGCCGGGGTGAAGGAGTCGGACATGAGGGAGGCGGTAAGGTCGCTGGTCGAGCAGAGCTCCCGGTTCGTAGGAGTGAAGGTCAACAAGCCGGCCGCCAAGGTCGTCGTGACGTGAAAAAAAGTGCGAATCGTCCCGGTCGTTGCAGCCGGGTGTATTTATACGCTTGGGGTCGTTGTTTTGGATGTGCGCGCAGAAATCAATCGAGGGGCGAGTCCGCCCCCGGCCCCGATGGTGTTCGGTACAACCAACACGGTTGGTTTGGGATTTGCGGAGAGACGAGGGTGAACAATTTCCATGACCCGTGGGCCATGGCCATCGAGAAGATGCAGGCGGACTGCAGTTGCTGCTTGAGATACCCGTTCTGTCTTCTCACAATAGGTATGTACGGCATGCATTCCCCCAAAACAATCTCTAGTGAATTCCGCGAAATATCCCACGTTTTGTTCAATGATATATTGAACGTTCGGGAGAACGATGTGATGTGGTGCAAGTCGTGGCCCATTCCGCGATTGGTTCCAAGTAATGTGGTAAGGCGAATGAACGGAGACCGAGCGACACCTGTGGTATGCGAAAACGTCAGAGGTAGGCCGCTGATGGTTTGAGATGTTCCGAGTGAAATGAATTGCTGGTACATGTTCTTCTTGGTACATGCCTCCGCTTGTCGTCAGTGTTGCAATGAATCTGATATACGCAGTATGTTGGCTGGTCATTCTCTAGGCCTCCCGTAGCGTCTGGAATCTTTTCCACTCGGGAGAGCTACGTAGCTGCAACTGGACTTGGATGGGGTGATTCACAAGTTGGTGCGTTGTATGATGAGTCTGTTGATATTTCGGCGTGTGATGTATGTATGTAGGCAACCGCCACGGTGGGATAATCGGTGTGAATCCCACAGTTCGAGAGACAGATATATGAATGGTGTATATACGGCCACTTTCATTTCAATGTGAAAATGGAGGTCCTGTACGTAGGAAATTGACGTGACTTGGACGGTGCACGAGTAGGGAGCTGGCAGGAAGGAAACTCCTTCCTCTATATATCTGTGTCCAGCGGCATTAATGAGATTAGCCCAAGGGAGGAACTGCGGTTGCTGCTGTAGCCCCCTCGTGAGAATAGTGGTAACCTGAACTGGGCATTTTGGTCAACCTGTGTGTGCCCTGTGCAGTTTCCACGTCACTTCTGGCTGTACATGTCGAGGAAAGAGAGGATTGGTCGGATTGGTTGAAAGAAACAGAAGGTTGCGAGAAAACAACCTGACAAATGTTTGAAAAAAGAGGTGGTTCAACCTTTGATACAAAGAGCATGAGTCAATTCCTTCGTGCCGTTTGTTGCCATGGCAACGACAAAGTGAAAAATAGACAAGAAGTTCGCAGATTCATTCCCAACGTTGCAACCTCCGTGAAGGATCTATCCAACTTGCCCCGAAAATTTTGGGAGAAGACCCGGAAGGAGACTATCATAAACGAGGACGTGCTTTAATGCGAATTGCACCCGAGTGTCTCCTCCGTTCCCTACTTCGCACTCTATTCTTCAAGGAAGTGAAAATACTCGCTAGGGCTTGCCGTTCTTGTGGTTACAAGGAACATGATCGGTCATGGGTAAACGTCAAACCCCCCGGTCCAGCGCAAGTGGCACGTTGCCCTTGTGTGCGCTGATCTTTCGTGCATCCTGACCCTTCTTCGAAAGGTCCGTCCGATATTTGGAATTCGCCGAAGGAGGGACCACCATATCTGCGCCAACCCTCTGCATGTTGCCTTCGCCAGGAGACCAACAAAACACAACATCGACGGGTTATGAATCGAGGGAGAGACAGGGCCACTTGGACCCTCAGGGTGCAGTTTGCGCACAAGTAGGCAGGCGGTGTGCTGCTGCAGTGGGTCCCAATGCGTTGAGAAACGCTGGGCTTCACACAAGCGATGTCGGAGATGCAAGCCCTCTAGAGAGATGCGCGAAAAGGCGCGAGTCGTGGAGTTGTTTTGCGATCTCAAGCAAAACATGGCAACAAACTAACGATGCTAGTGTTCTGAGAGGCCGGTCAAAGAAGCGAAACGAGACTGGCGCTAGAGGCGGGGTGAATAAATAATCAGAGGTGAACCTAAAATCGGAGTTGAATCACTTCGTTCGGAGGCGGCGCGCACACAAATGTCAACTTCGGGTAGAAGCTCAGCACTTCCATTTTTCACTCGATGGTGAGCCATCTCTTTCGCATGGCGATTCAAATCGCCCTTCGTGTCTGGCCAAGTTCCAGATTTTCTTGACCCCATCTTTCCTCTAACCCTACACTCTACCCTATTGTCTACTGCGCCCCTCCCGGAGTGAAGTCGGACTTTTCCAGCAAGAAGTCCTCCCAGTTCTGGTACTCCCGGACCTTGAAGAGCTCGAGCTGCACGTAGGGCGGGTCATTGTCGGAGTCGAGCACGAAAAGGGAGTCGTACCCATCGATCCGGTAGAAGGGAGTTCCGGCGAGGACCTGCACAAGGCGAGGCATACACGTGGGGCGTGTACCGCTCGGTGGTGCGAAAAAAAAAGGGGTTCCGACACGTGGATATTGGTGCAACAGAGAAGGGGGCCTGAGCATCATGCAGGCTTCTGGCTTTTCACGATAGGCCCTTTCACAGCTGGCTACGAAGCCGGTACTGAGCACAAACGGCTCAGCCGATCTAAATGGCGGGAGAAGTAGAGCGGCCCCGTGCACCGTGAAAAGGCCCAATTGAAGCTGTACAAGTAGGTCGAGCATTGTGGTGTTTCATGAAACAAAGAACACACCCCGAAAAACGAAAATACGTCGGGCTTCAGCCAGCTGCGCCTGGTGTGTACACACCTCGCCCTACCCCCTCTCCGCGCCACGGAAAAAACACACACGCACAAGTCACGACTAGAAAGGGTGGTAAAAATAAAGCCTTCGAGATGCGGCATGTACACAAATGCAACAGCCCTCCAAGAAAAATGAAAAAAAAAGAACAGCGAAATACACCGAGTCGGTAGTAGCAACCTCCAAAGAGACACAAGAGACGCGTTAGTCCAAGCAAACGAGTGTGTGAGAACGCGGGCGTTGTTTTTCTCGAAATGCTATGTAGGCGACCCACGCACATCAGCATGCCTGCAAGCAAGTGCCAAGCACACCATCGGCGACTGCAGGTTGTACAAAAGTTCCCCGACACCGATGTGTTTCCGCCGGGCTCACGCAAAAATCTACTTCTAAAAAAGAAATATTTTAAAGGCACCTCTTCTCCGTCGAACTTGAGCGATATGTGTCTAGTCTTGGCCACGAACTCGACTTTCTCGGCATCGAAGTCCTTCGGTACCGGCACGTACACGCTCACCGCGTCGGCATTCTGGTTCCACCAGTAACGCTCGGATGTCCCGTTGTAGTACACCTGTCGCACGTTTTTTCGACATAATGATTTGTCCTTGGGGTTATCGGGTTGCTTTGCGCTGCGCAAGTACACCAGACTGTTGATTTGCGGTGTGTGCGGTAGGGGTAGGTGTCGGAGACGTTTGGTTCCGCCTGAGCCCTGTGGACCTGCTCGGCTCGCCATGCTGCAGCGGCTGGATCGAGTACGTGTTTTTGCTTGTGCCGCGATCGGCGGCGTCGACGCGCTCCTAATCTCGACTCGGAGTGAAAAAGTCTTCGACCCACTCCTGGGTGTATTGCCTGGAATCACAACACCCAAAACGTGCTTTGATTGCCACCTTCTCGCAGTTAAACACACCGGGGGCTCTGTGATGGCAAGCGCGGTAAAAGACTGGAACACCATTATTAAAGGTTGGTCACAGCCGCCGGCGACAACATTAGAGGTCGACTCGATTCACCCCTGCTGCGCTTCGAGCATGACGGGATCTCACTTCGCTGTGAGAGAGACCGGTGAGGCAACAGCCAGTCTGGTGGAGCGTGGCCTACTACTTTCTACGCAACCAACGGGACCAGCTCTAGTACTCTTGTCCACCGTCACCCTGAGGCTAGCCGTCAGGGTACAACGAGGGAGGGCCTGATGGCACCTTTCTTGTTGGCGCGCATAGGAATGGGGGCAGGGGGCAGGCTCACGTCGCGGTTGGCGGAGACTTCGGGCTTCAACTAGATAGCAAGCGGAATCAACCAAAGCGTCGAGGCCGCGAGTAGGCTTACCTCGCTGTTTGTCAGAGGCGGGAAGCTGTCGATCGAGTATGGGAAGACCGTCTGGTTCGCCGCGATGACCGATCCCTTTATCAACTGCTCCTTTGCCTCTACCCTAGCCTGCAAAATGCGTAAAGAGCGACAAGCCCCAGGGGCGGGGACGCGGCAGAAAGTTCGGTGGGTCACACGTCGCACAAGGTTACGCCTGTGGCAATAAAGCTTCCATTTCGACCATGTATATTCACCAATGTATACTTACCAACAGCGCAAACCACGCCATGTCCAGTAGGTCGGGTTGGGGCGTGGAAGAAATGCCTCGGGGGTGCTACTGCCATTCTCGGAGCATCGACAGCAAACAGGTCTTGATCTGCCATCAAGCGCCGAGGCACGATTGATTTTCTCTAAAAAAACTATGCCCGGACTGTTGAAAAGTTGATTCTTGTTTAGCGAACCCGAGGAATAACTTCCGGTACACACGAACGTCCTCTCGCCTTTCGCCTACACAGCATCGGTGTTTGCCAAAGCACGAGAGATGTGGTCGATGGTTACGCTATGTAGTGAGATTCCCAGGACAAATTGATACACTCCGCCCCCCTCCGCCTCCTGCACCACGACCAATACCGCGGCCATGTGTGCCTTTTTCTAAATGGCCCCAACTTGAATATCCCCGGCCTTAAAAATACTTTCCCCGTTGGTTGCGACAGATGGAAACACGCGAACGGCTGGCAACAAGATCGCTACAGGATGGTACTCATCAGGGTTGGTTGCAACTGTCAAATGACGCTCCGAAGTGGGTTCTAACACGGAAACAACGCCCCACCGAACAAGCGCCCAACACTACTACTGCTCGAGACGAGGACCAAGAGATGAGAGCGACCCTTACCGTCCCGTTCGCCCATTCGGGAGAGAAGGATCCCATTGCCTGGTCCAGGTCCACGGGCGCCATGTCCCCGTCGAAGCCCTGCTCTTGGCCGCCGTCGCCGCCCCCAGCGCTCGCCGCGGCCGCTTCCACCCCAGGCTCGAAGGACATCAAGGCAGGTCTGATCCCTCTCCTTGCCTGTCGTGTTGTATGGACGTCAGGAGTGGCGGCCGAGTGGGTGGCGATAAGGGGTATCGTACGTTGCATGACATGTAGAGTACATAGACGATTTCACAAAGTGTGCTTACTCTGTGGCCAAGCAGAACGACGGCACCGAAAACGGCGGCGTTAGAAACGCCTTGCCCAGATCTTTCCGAAGAGATATCACCTGACTCTCTGGTCTAAGGCATCTCTCTTGATGGAGGACTCGAGGATTACACATGTGTCTATTATAGGGGGGGTGGTAACTTACGCAACCTCCGGCAGCGCCCACCGGGTGCGATACAGGGCTGCGCGGGCTTCGTAACGAAAAACATGGTTGAAAGTCCAGGTTACACCACCCCACCTGAGGCAACCCAGCACCCGGCTTGGTACAAGTTCGCGGAGCACACACAACAATTTTTCGACGCAAGGGTCCGGGGCTGTCGTCCAACATGCAATCGCAAGAGGTAGGGGGCGATGACTAACCTCCATGTTCACCCGGATGGATCAGACATTGTTGTTATGTAGATTCGTACCGTTATTGAATGCACAACGGTCCACATTCCCAGCTCTCCCCACAGGTACGCATACAACTCGTGAATGGTCTTTCCTCTGTGGCCCTAATCGCGTCTGCCGGGCCGCTGTAGGCGCTATGTGGAGCCCACTGCGGGAGATGTAGACTACAGTGCAAGATATGTAGACTTCAGTACGGAAGACTATTGTACTGCAAGATAGGTATGTAGACGAGACTCCTGCTGTAGACTAGTGGGGTGTTCGTGGGGAAGAAAAAAGAAAACCTACCGGTTGTTCCAACAATGTTGCACGCCAAAGCAGCAGTGATGACTGGCACAAAACATGTGTACGACTTCATATCACAGGCGCCTGTGAGATCGCAAATCACTGATGTTGCTCAGAGAGCAAGAGGCTGCCGTGGATGCTTCGAACTCTGCATGCCAGGTCACATGCAGATGCAACAGACACACCGTGCGTAAATTCCAATTAGACAAACACCACCCACCTTTCCTTGGTGTCGCTGGCCATCAGGTGCAGGAGCTTTCCTCCCTGTTCTGCTGGTACGGCTACTCCAAGCCTTCAGCAGGCAGTTGCTTGTTAACCCGACTGATTCAAACGCCGCATGATCACACGGGGATGCAGTTGATGGCACGGGCGCGTGAAAGACAAATGCATCCGACACCTGGTCTAAGCTAGGCAACAGAAGCCCAAGGGCCAACGCTGCTCTTCTCATAAGTGGCTTCCTTCTGCCGGGACAGGTCATGATTGGGATATCCGCGCAGGCCGGCAGTGCAGAGCAATGCATGTTGCCGGAATGTCCCCCGGAATGTCCCCCGCTGTCCCGAGCGCAACCGAGCGGGGGGGGGGGGCACCGCCAATTTGTCAAAAATCTCCGAAAATCTCCGGAGATGTCCACCGATATCCAACCAGCAATCTGGGCAGTAAGCGGTTGAGCGCTGCGTACGTGATCACACACGACACAAACGGCTCGCTACACAGAGCTTGCTTGTTGTGGATGGTGGTATTTTACCTCACGTTCAGGCCAGAAAACTGGTCGGAGGGTGCGAACCAGCCGCCACAGCATCTGTTGCTGTCGGGTGGGTGAAGATGGATCCGGATGTTGCGGATGTCGACGGACTTTCAGCTGAAGCTGCAGAGGATATCTCGTCGGAAACGCGACAGCCTGAAGCCGTTGCCCTCGCAACAGGGTACCTGCGTCAGGTTCACGACGGTCATGGGGTTGGTAGTGCGGTTGATCCCGAGGAGAGCTCTACAGGCCAGCGGAAACCTGACAAAACAATCGCGGGTGAGGGCACGGCAAGATCCGCCGCCGAGACCGCCGATGATGATGTAGTCGCGGAGAAGCTCCCCCCAGATGACAACGCACCCGAAGGTGGTTATCATGTCCAGGCAGGAGAAACGCCAGCTGTTGATGCTACTGGTGCATCTACTTCTCCGGATGCGGCCCAGTTACCAACACTCAACAGCGGTGCGGCCTCGCTGCAAGATTCGCCTGCTCCCGCCAGCACCACCTCCGTTTCCAGCCAAGGAGGTGGCGGCGAGACCGACGAGGAAGAGCGAAGCTCCACTGAAGGAAACCAGCACGGACAGGCCGAGCCGCACAGCAGCCCCGACGAAGTGGATAATTCGAACGACCTGCCGTCCAAGTTGCACCGACTCTGGGGAACGTCTCCCCCAGACCGCGCCGAGGGGCTCGCGGTATTGAGGAACATGCTAGGGTACCGAAAAGATCTTGACGGTATCCTTTCCAGACATGTGCCCACCAAGGTGCGGTATTAACGTCCTAAACCCAGCCGACAGGGTCTTACAGGCTTTTTGTAGTACAGGACATAGGCCATGGGAGGGTTTGGACCACTCGTGAAGGCCTTCGTGTGATTCATAGAGTTCGGCATGTCAACTTTGTAGCGCAGAAAGATACCGATGACATCCCCATGCATAGTACAATTCCCTTTCGCGGTGGGAGACAGATAGACCTTCACTCTACAACCTCACCTCAGACGTTCCACAGCGTGTCACCTCAGACGTTCCACAGCAGTGTCATATCTGACTCCATTCCACCCGATCGAACAGTGCATCAACTTGCCCCGCCCCACTACCTCCCGGCCCTGTACGCATATCACACACAGGGCCCTAGATACACGAGGCCTTTCCATGGAAACGACTACCGGGCGTCGTCACCATTTTCCAATCCGCGCCCATTCACGGTTGCCACCCTAGCCGGTCGATTCGCCCCCACCGTAACCAACCCTTCGGAGCTGAGGGAGAGGGTGGGGACGCGGGTGAGGGTGGTGACGGCGGCGGGGTTAAGGGTGGGCCTGGCCCGGCGGGTGTTCGCTCGGGAGCCACTGCTTCCCTCGGACGTTGAGGCCGAGGAAGAGCGGCAGGTGAGATCGGCGAGAAAATGCTGGAAAAGAGCGCTGGTGTATCAGGGGTGGCGGAACAGACTGCATGGCGTTGGTACCGTGAATATGCGAGTCGCCCTAGGCACCTTAGATCGTCTTTCATAGGACGGTAGCCCCAAGACCAAGACGGCGCCGATGTCGAAAACGGTGGTTTTGGAAGATTCCATCGATAGTTTTCTTGCGTCTTACGTCGGGTTTCGCACTGGGGCAATCGAACGTTGACATCGAGTCTACAACGGTGGTGCGATGTCTTGCATCGTTGCTATACTGATACATGGAGCTGTTGTATGCATTCCGCAAGACTGCCTCTTATTGCGTGGCAATTTCGAAATCATGAATAGAAGCCCCGCGATCTCATCGATGGATCGCACCGTGTTTCCGATTTTTCTAGGAACGGTATGGAATTTCCGGTATTCTCCAACCAACGGCTGGTAACGTCCCTAATCGCTTCGACATAAACTCTCATGGAGACAAGAGTTTTCGCTAACTTTTCATAGCGTGTCCGAACTCCCTCCTGCTCCCTCATCACCTAGTCGCCTGTTTGAACCTTCCCTTTTCCGACGTATGCAACAACGCCTATTCCTGCTTTTATGTCACGACAGTCCCGCCAACAGCCCGATGCTTCCCCCGCGCCTGTCGACGTCGAGGACCTCCGCGCGCTTGTGGTGCCCGTGCGCGCCTCCGCTTCGTCTGCGCCCGAGATGTCCCCGGAAGGGGGGCCGGCGCCATACCCGTCTATGGCCGAGGTGTCTTCCGTGATGTGGTGTGAGTACGACGAGGACGACGAAGAAGGCGGTGGTGACGGAGGGAGAAGGCGAACGTCGGCCGAGAGCAGCCCGGGGAAGAAACGTCTACTCCGGGTTTCCGTGCAGACGCTGGACGGTGACGTCTGCGACGACGAAGACGAGGACTCAGAGAGCGACGACGGCGACTCGGAAACGGACGTCGAAACCGACATCGAAACCGACTTCGGCGAAACCGAGGAGGGTTCCTTTTTCGATACGGCGTCGCCGCAGCAGGGACGGGAGAGCACCGGTGCTCGAGGCACCGCTGCTGGTCGCAGCAGAGGAGGAGATTTGTCGGAGGGGGGGCGGGGGAACGCGGAAGGAGCTAGGCGGACGTCTGGTATGAGAAACAGTAAGGCTAGGGAGGAGGAACTCGATGAGGTCGAGTACCAGAGAAAGGAAGAGGTGGCCTCGGTGCTGAGGAGACTGCGAGTGGCTATTCGACGAATGGACGGCACTTGGACAGAGGAAAAGGTGAATTCGTGTCTGTGCTGCTACTGGAGTATATAGTATACGTGGTCGGCAAAACGTGAAGTGGCCATTGATTGTCACCAGCAGGAAGGTGCATCGCAGCCGCATTGCTTTACCTTGTAAGAAAATATTTTTGTTTGTTTGGAATATGTATGCATATCTCTGCTTTGTATCACCATCGGATATGATGCCCTCTACGAGGTAACCCTGTCCGCATGTCTTCCGGCGCTCATGGGCCGACTATAATAAAAACATAAGTCTACGGCTCTCGTCCCACGTCGCCCCTCCCAACGCCGCTACCCTCGAAACACCACCGCAACTGCAACATCGAAACACGACCCACCTCCTCCGGCCACCATTCTGCGCCAAATGGCGAGAATAATACAGCATAAACCTAAACACATATCCAAACATATAGGTTCGTTCGATGGCGAAGCGGGTGGTTCGTATGGCGGTGATGACGGCGTCTAAGAGCGAGCTGGTCACCACCACGGCGGCAAGGGGTGCGCTCCGAGGGCTGGGGGACAGGACTCGGCTCAGGCGGCAGCAGGCCCAACGCGGCGGGGCCGGCAGTGGAGACGTTGGATGGGTGACGGTCTACGTGGGAGTAGGAAGGTGCGGCGCTTTACATCAGTCGCATAGTTGACGCCTTCGCGGGTGGCTTGCCATGCATTGGCCATGAAAGAGTCCTTGTAGGCCCCAATATATGCAATTCTGAAAGGCACCGGGTGGTGTAGCGCGATGTGTAGACTCCCAACGGCTGTAATGGTATAGACATTTCGCCTATAGGCGATAAAACTACTCCATGGAATATTTTGAGTTCATCACATTCGCTCTTCTACAAAGATATGGGCAAGGCAGATAGCGACGGGCCTGGAATGAAAAAAATCTGAATCTAACGCCTTCCTCATCGTTTCAGGTGGGGGCCCAACTTTTTCGGCCCTGGGTTTGCCGTGGAGACGCAAGAAAAGTACCGCCTTGGCTGGCTAAGCCTGTCGTCCCAACCGGCCGCAGGCATGATGGGAGGCGGGGGGGCATCGGGAAACGCTCCCGCTTCCGAGCAGCGTCGGGTGGGCGGGGCAGGCGTGCGCCGAGGAGCTTGGGCTGGACGGCGCGGCTTCTTCGGGCTCGGGCGGCGAAGGAATAGTCAACGGCGAGAGGTAAGCAGACCCGACAAGTACGTGACCCAGGGCTATTTTTTTCATTGCTTGTCCTGTTCCATCGTTGCTTAGACCCCGGGCTCTAACACTCTCGCGTGCTATGTAGTGTACACCGCTGTTCCGTATTCATAGGATACATCGTTCGTTGGTCAAGTATGCCATTTCTGTAAGAAACGTGTTTGCGGTCGGCAATGAGCACTGCTGTTGCGGGGCTTCCGCACGTAACCATACTCGTGATGTCAGTGGTCCGGAGGGCGCTCTGGCGCAACACGTGCGACAACTAGCGGGCCTACCACTGCTTCGGTAGTCGTCTTTGGAAGGTGTGTTGTATTCATGCTAGCGAACGATTTGCGCGCCAGTTTGTTGCTATCGAGTGTTTTGCGTACCGACCAACAAGCGACACGGTTTGGGGCCTTGGGCGTCTATTCGGTACCTCAGCTATTGTTGGCTCTACACATGTTGCAGATCGAAAAAAGTGTCCACGTCCTCTCGTTCCGACTGTTCCTCACACTAAGCGCATCTATATCTCGGTCATCCTCTTCTGCGCAATTCTGCCCGACAGAATACTCTCATTTCACTACTCTCTTTCGCCGGTATTTCGCGAAAAGTGGCAGGATGACGACGAAGCTGGCATCGAAGGCTGGGTGGGAAGCTTGACGTGCAACTACTGTGAAGGCCATCCCTTGGGAGACGTACCCAGTGCTGGAGCTTGCGGTGAGCCAGTTGTAAAGACACACATGCACTAGGCGATGTCTCCCGGTATGTCTGCACCACATGAAATATACCATCCCACCCGAGCGAGCATCGGTACGCGTGATGGGCTCCCTGTTCGGATCTGCTGCTCCCAGAAGGGTATAGATCGTACCAATCCAGATTTTGAATCTCCTTGGGTTAAGGATGTCTTTCAGTTGCGCATTGTTCTCGGATTGAGCCTCATATCGGGAATAACACAAACAGGATGGCATTCTTGGGTGCAATGATAGGCTATTAATAGTCAATGGATCGAGCGGTTTTACAACACCTTTACAAGAGCAGTAAGATCAAGTCTGTCGGAGTTTCTTCTTCTACTGTTCGTCACTGCGAAGTGCGAACGGCAGGTGTTTGCATTGTCAATAAGGCGCTTTCCTGCCGTATACACGCAGTACTTTTGCCAGATTTAGGTTGTCGTCGGGAACGCCCCGAGGGGAGTGATGGAGAGCGATGTGTGATTTTCACTACGGTTTTCTGCCGATGGAGACGTCGGCCAGATATAACCATTCTCAATTGTTTCAGATCTGCTGTCAGGCGGTACTGCCGCACGAAAAGCGCTGGTTCAAACGAGACTCTACGAGGGGAAGATAAAGCACAACATCTGCCGTCGAAACCCGACGTTGACGGTTGAACCCGCACTGACTGTTCTTCGTTGTGGACCTATGTCCTACCCATTCCGGCGTATGTTCAACGGCTGCAACAGGCGAGCAACAGGGCATCGCCTTCAAAACCGCAGACAGCGGTATTCGCAATTCTCCGGTGGAGCAACATGCCACCTCTACTGCCGTCCCTCTAAATATTTCTGGAGAGGAAGAAGGCGACGAAGTCTTCTCTGAAGCCCGAGGCACACCGGTGACAGTAGCCGAGAGCGACAACGACGACGACCGAACCTCACAAGAGAATGCCGCGGCACTAGGCAGCATGAGGACACCCCCAAACAGCACCCTGCCCCGGGAAGCCAGCGGCGGGAGCTTGCGGGTGGGTAGCGGGAACGCGGTTGAGGAGAAAGAGGAGCAAGAAGAGTGGTGCACCGGTCACGTTTGCTTAAGGCTTCGTCCCGACGGGCTAAGAGAGAGGCGGAGGGGCAGCACTAGCGGGGCGGGGATGGGACTCGGGGGTGATGCGGAGGAAGGCTCTGAGGATGAGTCCGGGAGTGATACCGATCCTGCTTCCGGTTCGGACGGCGAGGTGCGCTTGAGTGCGAGTGCTTGTGTGGGGATGAGTAGTGTTTTCGAGACGACGAAGTTGTCAGAGGCTTGCTGATGCACAAAGACTGAAACAAAGGGACACAACGACATCGACTTGAGGCCTGTGCATACAGAGGTGTCTCTCATAGGACTCAGCGGTATGGAGAGATGCATGATCAACTAAGAAATCAATTCCAGATCTCCCTGAAGTCGGCAGCACGGACAGGGTTCCCATCGCCGCAAAGTCGATGTCTATCAAGACTCAGACCTAACGGAAGGCACGGTGGTGACGTCGCATTGGTTTCGTGCAGGGGTGCAGACAGTCGGTGGTCATGACAGCTTACAACCAGGCTTGCAACGGAGTGTGCAACTGACGTTGTTGAGCACCGAAAACACGGCTTTGTGATTTTTTTTATTGTTCCTCGCTTCATTCAGAATCTCGAGGATCTAGATGGAATCGATGTCGAGGGGGTGAGCGGCAGCACCATGCGAGAACCTCCCAGCGAAGGCAACGGCCGGACCAACCGCGGGAGCAGAGGCGTACCGCTCTCGAGCATCACGACGAGCCTATTCGAGGGAGAGAGGAGGAACAGTGGGGTGAGATGATAATACCGGCCCACGCTCTGATGAACGAGTTGTGTTCGACGTTCTGCGACTTGCATTGGGCGGTGCCCTCTCACACACGTGAAAAAGATGGACAAGAAGCGGACGGAGCACACGTGTTCGCCCTATGAGTGCGCATGGCGTGATGAAAGTGCTCGCCAGGAACAATAATTCTTTCCAACACCTCGTGTCGCCAGCGTGAGTGAACGTGACACTTTCCAACAAGAGAACAATGCAACCAACGTGGACTTCATGACACGAATGGTCGCTGCGTGCCAATGATAATATCATGGCAGCGGTATCCCCTCACCCCCGAAACTATGTAAACACCAACATGGACCACACCCCCAGGATCCCTGCGGCGTCTCCTCAGAGAAGAGCTCCAAATCGCTGGAGGTGTTTGCATGGGGAGATAACGCCGGCGGTTGCTTGGGGCTTCCGGCAGACACCTCGGCCGGTTTGCTGCCGCGGGTCCTGCAGCCGTTCGGGCTCCTGCCCGGCGAGAGGGTCGTGGCGGTGTGCTGCAGTGAGAGGTGAAACAGGGCTACCTATAGAAGCCGACCTCAAACGACTAGACGAGTCCGGGCGTTTTGAACCTCATGCGCCAACGACTGAAACACATCACATACTTTCGTCGAGCTGCTCTATGCTGGGTGACAGGGACCTACTTTATGGTTCTGCATACTGTCCAAGCATTCCTTAATGCGCATTGTTGTCACCCCTCCTTCCCAACAGGCACTCCCTCTTGGTGACGGGTATGGGATCGGTCTATTCCGCCGGAGACGGCACGGATGGTGCCTTGGGTCTGGGCGGTCGAGAGAGCAGCGACGAGTTCCGCCTCGTCGAGTGGTGAGCCTTCAGCCTGCCGGCTTCATTCCCATAAACAACTTCCTGGAATATTCACTCATGTACACATTGACATTCGACTCCAATTAGATAGAATCAAGGCACGAAAACGTGGAACCCCTGCTGTGTACGTTTTAGCACCCCAAAAGATCCGAACCCATTTCGTTGATGACTCCCTTGTCCAGCACCCAGTGCGTTGGCTTCTCCTCATTTTCCCGACTATTGGGGCAACGCTTCACGACACAGCGAGAAACGCACCTTTTGGATGATCCCCGCTCCCCCATCCCTTGTTGCCCTCCCGACTAACCGCGGGGCTACAACGTCGCCGGCTTGGCAACAGGTTTGCAGAACAGATGCCTCCGCCGAAGGTGTGCCAGGCCTCAGCCGGGAGTGATCTGATTGGCTGCCACAGCGCGGCTCTGGATGCGGACGGGAGGCTCTTCACGTGGGGAGTCGGGGCGGCCACCGGACACGCATCGCTGAAGCCAGTGCTTCTTCCAAGGTTTACCTGAAAAACAAAGCCTGCAGCCCCAAGATAGAGAGGGAAAACATCTACCGTTCCGTCCTGCATTGCATGCATACGCATCGCGGGGGCTTGGAGTCCTAGCAATTAGTCATATGCGTACTTCATGAGACACGACGTGTGGCATAAGGTGTGGAAGAAAACCCCTCCATCGAGAATGCTTAATTTTGAAGTGGCATGCCGCAAGCGATATCGCGCGCGCTTTTGTCACACCCGGTGCCCCCCTACCACCCCAATCTGGCCCTTTGTCGGCCCTCCCTCGAAGTGATAATAGCAGCCCAGTTTCCGGTTTGGTGCTCAGCCTTCACCGATTGCGTTGCTCAGAACTGCCTCGAGCTGAACCCCCGATTGGTTGAAGATCTTAAATTTATTGAAGAGTGACGAACTGCCGAAGATTGGGACATCTTTCGAGAGTTTGCGGCAGCGAAACCTCATTCCCAATGTAGCTAGAATAGCACCCGGATGAACTCATGTTGTGCCCACCCCGGATCCCAAAGTCTTACCGTGTATCGAGCCAGAGTTTTGGGTGCTCGAAAGGTGAATGAGAAACCGTCGACCCACACCACATATTCTGCATCCCTGACCCGGAGGAGGCCAGTCTGACGTGGCTTGTCTAGAATGCCAGCACGTGTGCTGAACCTCAGCCCGCCCCTTGTCCCGAACAGGGAGATGGAAACACTAGGCGGTTTCGGAACGGGAAGCGAAGCTCGTGACGCCGACGGCCGGCCGGCGGGCTTGAGGTCCAGAGCGAAGGGGGTGTCTTGTGGGGGAGGCTTCACTCTAGCCGTTACAAACGGTGGCAAGGTGGGAATCGAGAGAGACAGAGAGAGAGAGACAGGTAGAGAGAGGGAGGGAGACGGACAGAGAGAGAGACAAAGATAGATAGAGAGAGAGAAAGAGAGAGAGAGAGAGAGAGAGAGAGAGAGAGGAAGGAGCTCTCGCTCTGCGGCACGCCCTGTTACATGAACGTTTCGTGGCTATTCATATTTCCACTTGAATAAAACCTCACCCCCACCGACGCCACGCCCCACACGCGGTCGCACGGCCATACGACCGCAACTACAGGTGTTTGCCTGGGGCTCGTGGGCGCGGGGCCGCCTCGGCCTGGGAAGGCCTCCCGAACGCACAATCGGGCGCAAGAAGAAAGTCCCCCGCTTCCAGGGAACGCCTCGAAAGGTCTCCGGTCTTGGGCGGTCGCCGGCCGTTCAGGTGCGGACGAATGATCCTGCGAGTTCACGAATACATGTACTGGTACGACATCTCACACGCCTCGAACTCGAAACCTCGACCAGCAAAACCTGCTGCTGACGTCATTATTTTGAAAGGAAAGGGATATCATTTTGTAGAGTATTTTGCAGCATATCGGGGCTCCGGGTTTGAGGTGTGGGCGAGCGGACCGACGCTGTTGCGTCTGGCTAGGTCGTGAGACATGCAATACTTGGAAAAAATACCGTGCCCCTGGCCTTGCTTTTGGTCCGTACACTCTAGCCTCCAATATCTCCCCGACATATCAACAAGAATTTCCAAGAAGTGAGTCATTGTTGTCGGTGCGCAACAACCAACTTACATCACATCGAAAGCGTTTTGTTTGGAGATGACAAACTGGCGCCACGCTACAGGTGGCTGCCGGTGCATGGCACGGGATGGCGCTCACCGAAGACGGAGAAGTGTTCACGTGGGGTCACAACGCTTCAGGCCAGGTGACAAAGCAACGACTAGAACGCAGTGCAAACTTGTGATCCTGCTGCTCCGCTTTCTGTGTTTCCTCCCGCTACTTGGGTGAAAGTAGTCTACGCACTCTGGGAGGTTTAAGCCCCTCTGGACCTGGAGCACGCACGCCATCCTCGGGTTGTGAATAAATTACCCATGCAGGATTCACTCTCTCTTGGGTATGTCACAGACTTGCTTGTGTTGTCCACGCTCTGAATCTTCGACTGTGTAACGCGCTGTGAGACGCTGGGGCAGACTAGGGTGTAGCAGTCATTGGGCCGTCTCCCTTATTTTCTCGGGTCTTTTTGCTCTACGCTGTCACAACGCAGCTCGGATTCTTGGTCACGCCTTCTCCAGCGAGCCAGCACCGACAGCATCAGCACCAGCCTGCTACAACGAACACACCTACGGCAGCAACGTCTACGACGAGCCTGTCGGAAATGCTACGGGCTTCGTGGACGCCGGTCAAGCTCCCCGCTTTCGGAAAAACCTCCGAGCCTCGCGAGAAACTGCAAAGGGCACCGGTGGCGGACGAGGTCTTGCCTGGGGTAGGACGCGAAGAGAGGTGCGCAAGGCCGTAGCTTTCAGCATACCATTGATGATGTACAAAACAAAAGTCCTTTGATGCTGTCGCAACATCACGCATGACCGCCACCTCTCACGCATCGTGGGTCCCCGATATGTAGTCTTCCCGTTCAGAAACCGTGGGTATGCGGGATGGAAGCAATCGACTGCTCGTGGTTATACGTGCGGCGACCGTGCAATACTGCGCTTTGATAGCGACGGCTTCAAAGCACGTGGGGACAACGCAGCTATCCCGCAAAACGCGTGGGTGCTCACCATTCACATCCCTCTCCACCCTGCTACCATCTTCCCCCGCCCCTCTCCCAACCCTACCGACGAAAACAAACAATACAGCCTCTTGCGAAAGATCGTGCACATCGCCTGCGGACCGGAACACTCCATCGCGATCGACTCTGGCGGCGCTGCCTGGACGTGGGGCGCGGAGGGTAGGGCATGTCTTGGGCACGGGGAGGCCGGCTTCGGAGCCCCTGGTGGAGGAACGGCGGTCGCGGCGGAGGCCAAAGCGAAAGCGATGGGGCTTGCCGGAGAAGGCGGCGGGTGAGAAAAGCGGATGATCTTGGTCGTGTATCGACAACGATGTCGGTTGCTTGATTTGCGTGTTTCCTTGTAGGCGGTACTTGGGTCTGTCATGCACCGCTGGATGTCGAATGTTTCATATCCCAGATCATGGCGCACAGCTCGGAGAGCCCTCAGTTCCATGCTCCCCGCGAAACCGAAGAGTGTAGAACCTTAACCTCCCCCATGGAAAGCTGTATTGCATTCACTCTTCAAACGCCAATAAATCACCCCCATCCGCCCCGGATACTGTAACCCGGCCACCCCGCCAGGACCGACAACCGCCAAACACAAACCTTCATCCCGCTCTCGCGGGAACGCGAGGTATCCCGGGCGCGCGCTCGCCGGGCGTTGGCCGGTGGGTGGGCCGTTCCGCGCGAGATCGCCTCCCTTGCTTCTCCGCCCCCGCCTCCTAAAACGACGGCGTCAAACACCCGCGACACGCGGGAGGGAACTGGGAGGGTGAAGGTAGTCGCCGCCGCCTGCGGGTTCAGCCACACGGCCCTCGTGACCGAAGACGGGAGGATGTACCTGTTCGGGGAAGGGGCCGCGTTGGCCGGAGGCGACCTTCAAGCTCTGGAAGGGGAAAATGGAGGCGTTCTCGAGGGGACAGGACTGAGAGAGGCCGGGGGCCTTGTGCGGCGGCGGTGTTCGGAGGGAGGAGAAGATCATGGGGGGCTCGATGCCGTAGCGGTATGTAGACAGAGACGGGCCCCGGGGCGATGTGTTCTTGTCCGGTTTCCTTCTAAGCTACGTTAGACATTCTGTCTTCCTTCAACGTTGAAAAATTCAAATTTGAAACAAAGTCACCGAATGTCTCGACTGCTGCGCCGCCATTTGAAACGAGACCCCACAAACGTTTCAGCTGCGCTGATCGCGGACCGGGTTGCCCTATTCCCCGCAAGGCACTTGGCAACCGACGTGGCGCCCTTCAGGCGTACAGGTGCGGTCGATGGTTTCGGGGGCATGCTCGTCACGACATCACCCGTACTCGACATCATCCAACCCCTGGCCGGCATGTCACTATTTTGTTGATATTTCCCATTTTTTGCAGAGTGACAAAGGTTCCGATACAAACCCTTTTCCATTTGAGCGCAAACCTTGAGCGGTGGGCAATTCGCGTGCATGTTTGCAGGCTCTTTCAGCGGTGGCGGGACCGACCCCGGTCCCCAGGGAGACGTGTTCATCTTGGTTTCCTACCTTGGCGGCGCGGCGGGTGGCGGCGGTGGCCTGCGGTGGGCAGCACGCCTTTGCTCTTCTCGCCGGTAGGTGGTGCAGTGGCTGCCGATGCATCAATTATTGCGCGGAATAGCGGTGGTAAACAAGTTCTCACCAATAAATACACGTCGCTAGGCAAAGCGCGGCCCTGGTTTCTGTCGAACTGGCAGTGCAGCTTGCCTCAGGCAAACCGTGCTGGTTCTCGAAGAGATTCTCGCTAACGTTTATTAGGTGGTGCCATTGTCAGGGACGTCCCTAGTTTCTGTCGCACTCTGCCGGGTCGGTATTAAAGAAGCAGTTCTTCTCGACCATTCATTCCGTTCTTGATGCGGCGAACCATGCCGACCCCAAGTCGAAGGGAATCCCTCGTCACGAGTCGGTCGGTCTCCCCCCTAACAGGAGATCGAATCGGGTACACCCTAGGCATGGATCTTTTTCGAGCAGCCATGGGCACCGAGCGACACCTTCCGGGTGGCCCCGCATCATCAGAAAGAGGCGTCCTTCGTTCGGGGGAAGGGTCCGTGGACGAAGACGGGGAGGGGGCGGTCGGCTGGGCGAGAGGCGGGGTGGACTGCGAGCTCCTCGTGGCCGGGAGCTATCTCTACGCTCACCGGGTTGTGCTGGCGAGGCGGTCGCCGGTCCTGAGGGACATGATCGCCCAGGCATGTCATTGATTGTGCCGCTTGTTTCTAGTCAGGTGTGGTTTTTGGGTTTCCACGCTCGTCTTGCAAAATGCCGTGGCTTCGAACGCGCCAGCCACGAGAAAACACGAGAAAAAACGTGAAACACTCGAAAGAACGCACCCTGGGCATTACGCATCCTTCTGCGCGTCTGACAAGGACAGCCCCGAGGTCCCCACCTGCTACTGAAGCGATTTCTCACAACATGGCCTAACCGATCTCGCCAATTTGTACCCGATCCTGACCACAGGAAGAACGTCCAGCGATCAGCGGCGATGACGGCGACGACGACGGCTTGACCCCTCCTCTGCAGCTACTCCTCCCCGACATCCGCTTCGACGTCGCCCGCGCCCTCCTGGAGTTCCTCTACACCGGCGAGCTGCGCCGCTCGCTTGACCTGGACTCTCCGCTGCCGTACGACCTGCGAGCGGCGGCCAAGTCGTACGGGGTTTCGAGGCTGGAGGTGTTGTGCACGGAGGCGATCTCGCTCGGCGCTGACCCTGGGGAGGGCGGCCCGGACGCTGGGTGGGGAGAGGTGGGTATCAAGGAAAGTGTGAGCTACGGTAGCTTGAGAAAAAGGTTTGCCTTTTCGGTGGTGTGGTGATGAACCTGCAGGTAGGTTGCCTGAGTGGAGTACCGAGCGAAGGTGGTTTGGGCTTCGGCATGCACGCAAAAGAGGCGACTCGACTGTTGACGGTACACAAGAGTGCAGGTTCAAGGGCAGAACAGTTGGTGGCACAGAAACTACACTCCCCAATGCTGACCCTTCTGCAGCAGGGGAAAACATGTCTTTCTTGACGAGCGGATCAACTGTTTTGAAGCCTTCTCGACTGTTTTGAAGCCAAAATCTTCTGCTACAATGTTTGGGACACCGTTCCAGGTCGTGCCACCGCCCTCCTTGGCCGGCGATCTCGGCGAGGCGCTGGGAACCATGGAGCACGCGGACGTCAAATTCGTCGCCGGAGGCAGGCCCATCTACGCGCACCGGGCGGTGCTGGCGTGCCAAAGCGAGTACTTCGCCGCCATGTTCCGGTTCAGGTGCGAGGCCTTTGCGCGTGTCCCTGATGTTGTTCCTGAGGCTGAGAACAGTATCTCGGTACTACTTGGGTCAAGCACTGCAGAAGTGCACTTCGTTTGGTCATGTGGATCTCTCCCGAAGACATTTTATTAAGCGAGAAGTGTTTGGGATTGTGTTTCCGCTTCGGACGCTGTCGGCAGTACTAACGACGACAGTTGGGTATTAATGCCCGCCACATCTCGCTGGGTCTGATGCGATGCGCGATGTCATGCACTGACCAAAATCATGCCGCCGGTTCCCTTCGGATTGTGTCGAAGGGATCAAATGAGGCGCGGTGCTGCCGACACCTCTAGCGGGAGAGACGAGCACGGGGGCCACTCCACCGCGATGGCGGAGATCGTTGTGCCAGACTCCTACGCCGGCTTCGTCCGGCTCCTGCTCTTCTTGTACACGGGTGGGCGCCGGCTGCACTACTACTGATCTCATCCGCATCATGTCCGTGGGAACATCCCTTTCCCGTACCGTACGCCAAAGCGCGTGCATTGTATCCGTGGATTCTATCGCTATCCCCTGCCGTATTTTCTTCTCGTACACGGGCGGATTGTCATGCAACTGCACCGATGCACCTGCTACATACCGTAGTCGTTATTTTCCTTCGCTTTCCAAAACGAATTTACCTTCAGCAGCTTGCAATTTTGTATCCGAAACCGTCGGCACGTATCCATGGCTTTGCAACCTGTAGCTTCGTTGTGCAGCCACGGTGCAACCTCAGAGAATGCGCGAGAATGCCACACCCCGACCTGAACCCTTTGAAGGCCCGTAGTAGTGGGACAACACATGGAAGACGCCTTCTTTCGCAGCAAGGTTGAAACGGCAAAACCCGGCTGGACGCGAAAAAGGCGCGAAACGGCACCAGGCTATGTAGGTAGCCCTCCCCCGTATCCACGCGATGCTATTTCTTTCACCAATTAACACCGTGGGTGCTTCCTTTGTCGATGTCCCCAGGAGTGTTGCCGGACGCTAACCCTGAGTCCGTTCTGGAGGACCTCGTCTGTGCGGACCGATACCGGCTGTTGGGGATGAAGAGCGTCTCCCAAAGCATGGTTCGCCTTGCTGCCGGCAGCTGCTTGCAGGTGTTCTGAATTGTGGAGTTGTTCGGAAGGATGAGGATCAAAGCGTTGCCTCTCCACCTAGCTAGAATGATACAGATAATCGTTTGATAACGTGACCTAACCGTAACGAACTATGCGACGTGTCGCTCCTGAAACAGTCTACGATCACCGCCGTGGTACCCATCCCGTCTTGAGTTGTTTCGGTGTATGACAGAGGAGCTTGGGCATTGAGCGCCGCGCTGGTTTTCTTTCCGGTTTCAGCTTCGTTTCCTCGCCCTCGTCCCCCGACCCCTGGATGCACGTTTCCTCCTTAATCGGCCAAACGGCCAGGCGCTGGAGGCTGCGGAAATGGTAAACGCGCCGCTCTTACGACAAGCAGCTCTGTTCCATGTTGAGCACAACCTGTACCAGGTTTCCCAACAGAAAGGCTTTCCCGAAATCATTTCGGGGACGTCTGGCGTGGCGGAGGTATGGCTAATAGGGTATACGCAGAGGATATTTTTTTTGCAACCTCAGGGAGAGTGTAGGGCAGTTAATCCCGCGAGGTAGGGCGGGCGGAGCGCAGACAATGCGCATACAAATTGAGACCGTAGCCTTCGGGGAGGATCGTCAAAACTGTGACCACCCACACCTTTCGTGCTCTAGATCCCATTATCGCATACCGCACGGCGGTCAACGACCCGTCTGCCTGGTACAATACGACGCGCTTTCACATTCCTCAAGAATAATTTTCTCCATTCCATCCTTATGACCGGACCAGGTGCTTCTCTCGCGGTTGCACGCCACGGCGGCGAACACCTCCGCGGTGTCCTCAGCGGCGGCAAGGCAAAAACGCCTCTACGCCCGCAGCCGGGAGCAAAGGGTCGAAGCGGATGGCCACGGAAAGTCCAATGGGTTGGTAGAAGACGGCGGCGATCCTTCCTTCAGGGCGGACTCCCCCTTCCCGTGGGGCGCCGCGCTGGTGGCCGTGGCCTGCGGGACGATCTACTACAAGGTCTCCAATGTTGTGGCGGTGGGCATGTTCGTGCCCGTCGTGAACGGCGTGTTTCTCGTCTGCCTCGCCGCGTTCGCCTTTCACAAGATCAGAGACAAGGGGCTGTTTGAGGGTGGTCGCGAGAAGAGGATCCACCGGAGGCGACAGCTGCAGCAGGGAAGGGGGCGGGTCGTGAGGAAACGTGGGGGCTGGAGGGAGAGGAGGCGGGAGGCGGCCGGGGGCAGTGGTCGTGGTGGGAGCACCTATCTCTTCGGATAGCACGTTTTGGCGGAAAGGGAAGGTCCACCAACGGCAAACGAGGGAGCGGTTGGGGGTGCGTGGAGGAACCGAGGGGCGGGTTGCGTGTGGAGGAGATGAAGGTGGTGGGGGAAAGCACGCCGTCGAACATTTTTTGCTCATAAAGCTTCTCTGTTGGCTGTCAGCATGCAAGGTCGTGACCGACATTTCTATACATTTGGGGTTTCGCCATGTCACGGGGATGCACACTGTTTGTAGGTGGGTGGCAGTGGAAGTGGTAGGGCCACCGCTGTCAGCATATCGTATTGCTTGTGTCGGCAGATCACGTGTAGGCCTGGGGGCGGTCAGGTGGGAGAGGGAATTTTGGTCTATGCGACATCGGGCTTATCAATGTTTTGAGACGTGGAGATGACAAAAGCGTGGTGGATGGAGACTCCCCGTGACATCGCGAAGGGTAGAGGAAGTGTTCCACCATGTTCTGGTGTTGGCATTAGTCACAAATCGCAATCCATAAGATCAACCTTCAACAGCTTGGCGTCAAGGGAAGCAATGCGCACGAGTGATGCAGTTGCCCCCCCCCAGGCTGGTTGATCCTTGGGGAAAAGTCGGGCTAGTTCCTGCCACCATTGAGCCTCAAATATCAAGCGTTGATGGTGTGTGTTGGTACACGGATTGAGGTGAGTCTTCAAACAGGGGGCATGGTCACTTGTGCGGACAACCGTAGGATACTCATTTGTGCGTGGCGAAGCACTTACCCGTGTACGCATGCCGTGTGCTCGTGCGGGTCATGAACAAGCGGTTGAACCGAGGTCGTGAGCGAACCTTCTCATTTTGAACAGTGATAAATATATCCTTCACGACCCCAGATACTGGTGTAGTCTTCCGGCGTTGATATACGCTGTTTTTTTTTGTTTTTCTTAGGCAAACATGAAGCGAGAAGATAATCCCTAGGGCGGGCTCCAACACATGTGGGGGCGAAGGAAGAAAGCGAGGAGCATCACCCCGAGCAGTTCACCCCGAGGGCGTGGTAACCTCTTGTATAGCAAATGAAAAATGTTCAGAACGGTTTGCATATATATGTCAACGATCGATATGTGTCGTGTTCTGCTGAAGAACGATGCTATACTTTACAATGAGCAATGAGTCTTACTTGTCCAAGAGTCTACGTGAAGTTATTCATAAATTCAAAGTGTAACAATTGGTATTCTAGTCTACTGTATTTATCATACCACTCCATTCATCCACTCCCTCCGTTTGTGACGCATTTTCGACCCACAACAATCAACCAGATCGGTTGTTTGCAGTAAGGGCTGCCTGCTGCCGGTTGCTCGGCACGCGACGCCTCGCATTTGCTACACATCATCAGAAACATCAAACAGTGTGAATCAAGCGCGCGCGATTGAACGAAGTGAATCTGGGGATGGTGGAGAGGGGGTGGAATCGTACAGCGGTGGCAAGTAAAATGAAAATTATGGCCAGGGAAGTTTCAGAGGGGATAAGGACAGCCACTGGGGCGGTGAATGCATAGCACAGCAGCAGCACAGGAGGAAGAGGCAAACTGCGGCTGCTCCCGTGAGGCGAGAGGACGATCCGGTGCAGAGTCCACCGAGCAATCGGCGCGAAGTCCGGAGAGAAGAACGGGTTCTCGGCGTTGCCTCGGCTTGTCAATTGATTGAACGGAAAACCCTCCCTCCTTCACCAACCCACGAGGGTCTGCGTCGCCTCGTTTATACAAAACAAACGAGGTCTCGTCTTGCTATTTACTACTATTGCTGTATGCAACGGTTCTCGAGGGCGGGGGAGGGTGGAAAGTGATGACGGCCTGTTTATAATATACTTACGCTATAAGTCGGGTGAGTATTACTAGGGACCCACGGAATAATTGGAGCTGTGAGCCTCTGCTAGTAGTCTATATGCTCGGAGATTTCACAACAGATACTGCTGTAGTTATGCGTGCGAAGGTGTACCGATTCTGGTAAAAGTCAATCGACGGATACCCTGCGAATCGGGTCCTCCTTAACACTGAATCCTGCCGCTGACGCCAAGTTTAAAGGAGGGGGAGCCGTGGGTGGTAGCTTGCTCCTAGAGATAGATGAAGGTAGGTTCTGTCGTTGACACGCTTGTCCACGATCACGTTGAGATGAGAAAAGTTGCTTGTTATTGCTGAGAGACGATCAGCAAGGGTCTGAGGTGAAGTGGGGATCCAACTTCACCTCAGGGGGTACGCGGACTAGACAAATCCTAAGAGGGTAGGTGTTTGAAGGGTATACCTCCTGGGACCGACCCACATCCTATCAACAATAAGATGTACCCTATTTAAGCTAGCAGCCACACTCCTTAACATGCGTGTGTAGGATTTCGATATTTAATTTGTTGTTCGTCTTCGCATTCATTCCTTTTTGTCCGCTGGGACAGCGTTTTTTCTCGCACTTTCTTCTGCATGGCACGCAGAGCACTCGTCGGTATATTACGTGGTACGTGTGGGGCTCGCGAGACACCGGTGGTGCGTGTTAGGGCAGCCTAAAGTCACTGGGACTGGCTCTTTTTTCAGGGGTTGGGCATCCGAACAAATTACGCCTCGTCGAACGGCATGAAACTGAAACAGAAGTTTTTTTTTGCCCCGCGCCACGCGCCCCGCGCCCACACAGTTGCCGTGATTGTTGTGTACACAACCACCACACAGCAACTGGCGCATGCGTACCCACTGCGGGCACCAAGGCTCTTGATGTTGCTCATGGAAACACACCACGCGACACAGAAGTCCTCTCGCACAACTCTGGCAGCGGTCATGTAAATTTCAATTCCGAAAATCGAAAAATTCAAATATTGAAGTTGTGGTACGGCGTCTCTTTGATCGGTTGTTGGTGTTTGCGTAAAAAAAAAAAAGTCCCACAGACCATCGGAAACACGATCACACAAGAAGAGAAAGTGATCACATGCAGCGGATTGCAGCAGTAGGAATTGCAGCACAGACGCCGCTAGCTACATAAATTTACCACAGGCGAAGGGTCACGGCGGGGAATAAAATACCCCGCACATGATGCAAATTCCAGGACAAATTTGTATTTATTCAAGTTGCACGCAAGCCGGCACTACGGAACGTCATGACGACCAACCATCCATGCGACCGCGATGGCATTGATTGGCCATGTCCTTCTTGCGTCGCCCCCGGGAGGCAAATCATCTATAATTCCCGAACCTTGTACATGCGTACAGATACCCCGTGCAGTTTCCAAGTGTGCTTTCGTGTCTTACCATTAATCATTTTCTATTGTTTGTCCGCCCCCGATCTACATACATACATACCGAGTACATACGATTGATTGATTTGACATATTTAGTATGCGTCGCTCTGTACAACTACCTACCCAAGGTGCAGGCTCTTCTTCTGCGGCCGAGACTTGCTGTTACCTTCTACACTAGACGTGATGCCGGGCGTCCGGAAGCCTCCGTCGTATGTGGCCCGGAACTCATTCGGCGGGCAGCAGGAGGTAGACAACAACGCCGTCCACAGCACGATACCGATTCCCGGGACTAACAGCAAGAGGGGGCGGGAGCTCCGTGGTGCTGGTGGCACTCGAGCAAGACCTCATCTCTTGGTGAGAATCCTCGTGAGGTCAGTCACCGACCCTCGTGTTGTGACGTTGTTGGTGCTGACCGCCGTGACCGCCCCGGCGCTGTTCTTCTTCGGGCGGGACGCACATGGTCCCGAGGGGACAAGAACCAGCCGTCTGCAGACAGACCCAAACCCACGGCGATCAGCTACTGCCGTGCTGTTTCCCAGAACGCTGCAGCAGCCGTCCTTATTGCCTCTGCGATCGCAACAACAGCCCCTGATCCCAGGCCAGCAGCAGCAGCAGCAGCCTGGCAGTATGCCGCCACCAACAGAAGAACCGGTGAAGGATAAACCTGTTGAGGAGTGGGCGAAAATAGCTGATACGGTGCCACCTTGGAAGCTTGCGGTCCTGCCGCTGAAAGTGGCGAAGGACGCGCCACCAAACAGAGGAGAGGAGTGTTTGCCGAACCCGTTGTGCGAAAAGCGAGTTGACCCGTCCAAGTTCGAGTTTGGGTGCGATGAAATAGAGGTAAGTGGAAAACCAGCTGTTGCCATGTATGCTGCTACACACATCATGCCGCCAATGACCCGAATGTTGTGTACATACAGTAGTACAGCCTCCCGCTAGTAAGAACCAGTACAACTTTTGAGCCAAGGCTCAAAAGCTCTCACCAGCATTCTAAAAACGATTTAGCCCAGCAGAAAGCATTGCTGCGCTACCGTGCTGCGCTACCGTCCGTATACTATGTAGGATCTAGTGTGTTGCCGGAGGCTGAGCCCGATTTCCGCGAGGAAGTGCAGTCTAGACTAGACATTGGACTACAGTTTATGTTATTATTTTCTGAGCCTCTTGAGTCTTGAAGATGCTCTCGTGCACACACGCTGTATGAACGAGCGTCCCTTGGTTTTTCTAGGGAATGGGTGCATGCGGAGATTGAAGTTTCGAACGAGCTTAGCGTTCCAGGTTCCTTCGCCCTGATAGTCTTACGTACAGCGGGTTTTCTGACCCGCCGGTTACCGGTACTTGGTAACGGGCGTCAGCATTGAGTTATTGAGTTATTTGCTAAAAAAAAAATCTTAATCATTTCCAAAGGGCATACATTATTTAGCAAGCAATTTCCAATTATTTTGAGTCGCCGTTCAAAAAACATTTTTCGGCGTCCACATTCCCAAATTTGCAAAACTATGTAAATCCTCCCCCACAACTTCGAGGTTCTTTGGTGTGAATTCGGACGGATGAATTTGGAAAAATATATGAAACAAATATTTGAATGAAAAGGAAGCTTCATTATTGGGCAAATGAAAAAAATGGCGGTTCACGCAGTTTCACGAGCCACCATGAGCTACATTGTGAAGGTGCCCCAGCTTTGGAAGCGGCTGGGGCCTAGGGTAAACAAAGAGGTACGGTCGCTTGAAGCCTGGTCTCCTCGATTTTGAAGAAATGAGATGTTGCTTGAATTGAGAGCGAGGAAGGTCTGGTTGGGGTGGGGATCCACGTAACCCGGGGGCACACAGATGGCTGAGTATGATTGTGGTGGTCCCTCAGAGATAACCTCCCCGGCCATCCCACATCCTGTTCTAGACCAAGATGTACCCTATCTATGCCCTACAGCAGCACTCCTTAACACTGCAGTATCGTGAGGAACCATGAGGTCTCATAAGCACCATGAGAATCACTTCATGGAATCTATCCGGGCCCATGAGATTGCTCGCGGGGCACCATGAGATCACTTCCATGTCATGGCGGGCCGGAGACATGGGAATTGCTCACTCATTGTGCACCGGGAGGGGAGATGAACCAGCAATGTTTGTGAAAATAATCTTGTAACCAGAAGGAATTGCACGATGGACTGTCACATGGCACTTCATGATGCAAAATGGAACAAAATGTAACATGATAGAAGAACCCAAAACCAGCTGAATCATGTCATAGGGCACCATGAACGCCCATCCATGACGTTTCATCTACCGTGCGTGGTGTTTCGAAGATACATTGTAGAAGAGAGAAATACGTAACGACAATCTTAATCCATGAGGTATTCCATGATGAGCCACCATGAGATTCTCATGGGGTCTGATTGGGCACCATGATGGCACCATCGTGCCTCATGAGGTACCATGAGGATCTTCTCCAAGGTGCACCATGAGCAATCTCATGGCGTGATGAAAACATGCCAACCCCCCCGTCACGTGTCTATTTACCTCTCTTCCTCTGGCTTACCACACATTTCTCATAGTCAACTCTCGCCACCGCCGTCTGCAAGAAAGTTTCGCCCTATATTTACAATAGAAGCGACCGCATGAAGCGATATCGGTCGCGTTGTCACTCCAACGTGCTGTACCCTCCTCCACCACACACTCGCAATCAGTGAAGACCGACCCCCCAAAAGGTTGTCACACCTCTTCAGTTGTTCAGCTACAAAGTGACGTCGGTTTCTCTACGGCTAAATACTGTACGATGGACCTCACCGGCCGACTGACAAATTGAATGAAAATACTCTGGCACCGGAACCAGTACCTTGTGCTTCCCCGACAAGGGTGATCGCGTGAGGAGGGGATGGGGCGATTGGGTCTGCGGCCTACAAATCATGATACTACTCACAGGTTGTTGCGCCACAATTGACTTTATTTTAGAGCGGACCCACGTGGATGCGGTTGTTTTTTTCACGACGCGACGTACGTGTGGACCCTTGTTGACACCATACGTCATTCTGCAACTAAATTGCTTTCCGTCTATTGCGGTGGTACCCGTGGAAGAACTCAGTTGTTCCAGGGGGAAATTACGAACATTAACGACATTTGTTGGATTGCAATCCCATGTGAAAAATCGATCGATCGCTTGATCACCTTGCCGCTGACTTTTCATCGGCTTCGGTCAAATGCTTAGAAAATCGTAGCTCGCTTTTCCTTCAGCCGTTCCACATGCCTGCTGCGCCTCAGTCGTTCGATATACCTATTGCAACAACAACTTAGACCTATATACAGAGGCGAACGACTGCTGTACCCAACAAACAAGGCATCTCGTTGTCGATGCCCACAAATGAACGCGATGTCCAGATGAATGCCACGTATACATAGTGAATCTCCGCAGCGGCGCGGCAAAAAACAAACTGCGGCGGAACAATCGCATATTCATTCTTCACTCAGAACAATCAAACACCATCATCTGGAAGTCGGATTTCTTCGCAAATCCCACGCGGCCGGGACCCTTTTCACTCATCACTCAGAACAATCAAGCTTCGTCATGTGCGACGGATTGCATTCACTATTTCGCGATGCCCTCTACCATTCTTCCCATGTTTCCTTCCGATACTTGAACTGCTGTGTACTTTCCGGTGGACACGACCCTGCGGACATTGAGGCATGACACCTGAAACGCTGTGTTGTACGTGCTCCTCTGCTACCCGCTATTGTTGCATCGAGCGCCGAGTGAAAAATTGCAGCTACTACTGACGCTTCGGAATCTCCGCCGCTCTCGGCTGCGAGCATTTTGGCGGCCCTTCCTTCTCAAGGGCACCATGTTCGTCGGTACATACATTAACACCCACCCATGCCCTTTCATCTCCGTTGCACGTGTGTTTCACCGCAGTGGAGCTCGCGAAACCTGAGTCTATGTGCCCGGGAGCATTTTCCGCGAAGACAAACAGTGACAGATCAATATCACTGAAAGCGATCAATACGACACAAACGACAATGAGACGAAACCCTGCGAATAGATGCCTCAGCCTCCCGGGGAATTTGCACTTTTTTCACCACCTGTTTCATAATGTTACCGTCACTTGTCAAGAACATGGCCGGTGTTGGCGTCAACGTTCGGCCAATTAACGGCGAAAAGCGTGGACAACGTCGTCTTGCCGAATGTCGGGAATATCGACCAGCAAATACCGATTGATGTCAGCAGCGCTCGAAATCTACTCACCAAACCGCGGCATTCCAACCATTTTAAACTAGACTATGCCACATTCCTTGCAGTCTGGCCGCCCACCCACTGGGGGACGGGGGGCCAATCGTTCCCCCTATTACTTGCATACATAGACTTAACACCCCAACTTACTGTTGCTGTAGTAGCGCGCGTGTGCGATGTGCGTAGACCAAGCAAAGTCAAATCCAGGCTTGACCCTGGGGACTTCGCAAATACCATGATGCACATTACATTCCCCAGCAAACACACCTACTGCAGCTAGGCGACAGGTTGAGGATGTTCGTAGCCATTCGAGCGCGCGCGTGGTTGATTTTCCATGCCTCCCCCAAATTACATCTAGACTTTACATATTTCTCATCATCGGTTGCTCCTTATTAATGTTGGGATCCATGGTTTTGTCTTGCCACTACATGTAAAGCAGGTTGAGCCGCGTTTCTAAGAACCCTAGGCTAAGCAAGTCATATGATTTCCGCTACACCTGGGCCTATTTTCCTTTTCCTTCCTCAATAACGTTTTTCTTGACCGTGGGGCCCAAATGTACGAAACAACACCTTGCCCCGGGGACGTTTGGGGTTTGGGGTTTCGCGGTTGGGGTCCGCACGGTGTTGGGGGAGAGACAGGTCTTTTGGGGGGGGGGGTGCCTGTTAGACATGAAACAACAACCATTGGTTGCCAGTCAAACTCTCGCCAAAAAAAAAAACGACTGTGAGAGACAGACACTGCTGTTCGAGCGACTTTGTCGTCGCCAAACTCTCGCTGGAAAAAAATAACGGATGGTGCATGACAGGCACTGTGAAGCTGAAACCCATCAGATGTGCCAGCCAAACATAGCACCATGCCTCCATTCGGCCGATCGGTGTTGGTTTCTATATAGTCTGTGCGTCAAAGAACAAAAAGTGCAAATAGGCATATCCATACATGACTAGCTAGGCACATTTGACCAATCCTGCCGTGCCGAACCTCGCTTCCGGATCGACAAAACAACAGACCTGCTGCCTATGACACAGCACGGCGTGCTTACACGAATGTATACGCAGGCACCGCCGCGTGCCTCTCGTGTTTGGAGGCACATTCCGCGCGAGCAAGCGGTGATACAGTTCTGTCTGTCTTCATTCGTCATTATTATCATCGACCCGGCTCAACCCGCCGAGCATCGAACTGCTGTAGTCTAGATGTCCTTCCGTGCGGCTGACTACAGAAAGTACGCTTCTCCTTCTATCGGCCATGGTCTGGGGCACACAGCAGTGAGGGGGCGTCAGTCATGAGAGAGCCTAGACTGTTCTCCGCCGAATTAAAGACAGAGCGAGGAGACGGTAAACAGCGGATGGAGAGAAGTGCACACGTACGTCCGTTTACCAAGGCTTCTATGTTCGAGACTAGACTATGTGTTTGTTTCGGCCCCGATCGCATGGCTGCATGTTGTTGCTGCTTCCATCAGACCCTGCACATACGTACATTATCATCGTCCTCCTTCCGTTCACCACTCTCTCTCTCTCTTCACTACACAATACTTTTTTACATGTCTACGCGCGTTTCTTGAATAACGTACAGTCCAATGGAAATCCCATGGAAGTGGAATAGCTTCCATGGAAGTCGAAACGTAGGCCATGGAAACTATTCAAAAACAGGTTTAGGTCTGCTTCAAAGGAAGTATTCAGCCTCGGGTTAGCTTCCTGGTCTTTTCGGGGTCAGGCTCAGGGTTCGGGTAGGGAAGCTGAAATGACCACATGTCCAGACGCTTCCGTGGAAGTTACTTTCATGGAAGTTTCGTGCTTCCATGGAAGTAGCAGAGACTCTGTCGAGCTACGAGCTTCCATGGAAAGTACTTCCATGGACGCTCGTCGGTCTTCCGTGGAAGTCCAAAATGCGACTTCCATTGAAGCAACCATCGGTTGATATCGGGTGCTTCCATGGAAGCGGATCAACGTTCATGGAAGTTATTCCATGGAAGCATCATGGAAGCTGGAACCCGAAACAGACGAAAACTCCCATGGAAGCAACCCGAAACAGACGAACATATTCCATCGAAGTCAAAAGCAACCCGAAACAGACGAACATATTACACGGAAGTCAACCATGGAAGCCATCTAACTTCCATGGAAGTCGATATTGACTTCCATGGAAGTGACAGTGACTTCCGTGGAAAGGGGGTAACCAATTCCCCCATGGAAGCAGTGAACCACTTCAGTGGAAGTCGATTTTGGCTTCCATGGAAGCATATTCCAGTTGTCCAATAGCATAGGTTACCCTTGTGCAGCATGCAGCAAGCAACTGAACTGTGCTCGGACAACCAACGCCACCCCCCTCCCTTCGTTGTTCAGTCGATGCTTGCAGACGAGAAGAAGCTGATCGGCAACCGCAAAATCAGGGATGTCTATCTCGTAGAATGGGGGGGGCGGAAGCTGGTCGTCAAGGCCCTTCGGGAGGACTTCGAGCTGAAAGCTAGCAGGAGAAGAGTAGACAAGATCCACCGCCGGGAGGCCGCGGCGCTCGACGAGGTGAGCGAGTAAGCAAAGTGGGTGCGCCCCGTGTCATACACCATACCACTCGAGGTGGATGTACCACCGGGTTGATATATCGAAGTCATTCCACGTCAACGACAACAACAGCACTTCAAGCCAGAGAACGGCAACCATAGATCACGAAAATGTCAGTTTACACGAGCAACCACAACGTCCACGGTAACAAGGCCACCCAACGCATCCAAGCAACTTCCCGAGAGCGATGTCAGCAGCGACATCGACCCATGCAACATTCCCACCAGGTAGCAATAGCTCGCTCCGCCTCCAAAGTGATACGTACTACGCGGTGGCCCCCCGCCTGACGCAACCATCGAATGAAGAATAGGAAAGATAGAGCCCACGAGCCCCGAAAGGTTCGTTTTTGACTGGTGGTACGTACATCTGCCATAACTGGACGAACGCGAACACCCGCAGGTTCGAGGGCACCCCAACATCGTCGACATGGTGGGCCTCTGCGAGTCGTCTTCGGTGTCGGAGTTTGTCCCGGGCAGCCTGGATGACCTGGTCCTCAAAGACGGAGCGAAACCGCTGCCGATCGCGTTGGTGGTGAGTTGCCGAGAGTTGGGCCTTGGAGCACGCTGGTTGGTGCGTTGGGGGTCAGGTTCTGCACGATCTATCCGAGCGTGAGCGCCTCTCACTCTGTCCTTTGAACCGCCGTCTTAGTTGGCCGATAGGTCCGCTTTCCCCTTGTGTCGCCAGTAGCACGGTGGAGGTCGGTCGTGTGAATCAAGCAAAGAGAGGTGTGGCTTCCTCTCGTAACAGAGAAACGATCGCGGGCGGGCGTTCGTTCTGAAGATATTACCAGCTCTCTCTATCCTCAGCCAGTAGACAACCGAAAGCCTTGTCAGAGCTGTTGTCGCCCACATGGTGAGATGTGTATTTTCCGCCTTACAACAAGCGAGGAACAACTGTTGTTTTGAATATACTGGTCAATAATCATGTTTCTTCATCACACGCATACTCCATGACGCCCCCTCTCGCAGGCCCAGATCATGGCCTTCAGAGGCTTTTTCCGTTTTCAACCGCAATAGCACTGACGTATTATCATTGGGCAGCCGGTTTCGCCCGGTCGATGCTAATCATAATACCACAACACACATACACCGGTGTTCCACAGGTGTCCATGGCTCTGGACGCCGCCCGAGGGCTACAGGCCCTCCACGAGGCTCCAGGGGGAGCCATCGTCCACTCCGACATCAAGCCGCAGCAGCTCATGCTGGACGAGTACGGGAGGGTCAAGATCAACGATCTCAGCATGTGTAGGTTTCCGCCGGCCGACGTGGAAGGGAATACTTGCCCGTACCCCGCACGCGCGTGTAAATCAGGTTAGATGCACGCGTAGATGTTGGGTGACAGGCAGAGGGTTTTGTGTTGTATTGTCATTGTGTGGTCGACATTGATCGTGGTGTTGCTGGGGACGGTGACTGTCTGGCTATTCTGCATCGAAAAAACATTTATTTCTTCTTGCGCGGTACTCCGACATTCTGTAGATCTGAGGACAGCTGGTGTGGCATGAGGCGATATGCTGTGCTTACAAACCGACAAACTCCAAAAGCAACCCCGGAACGTTGTTAAGGGAAAATAGCCTAACCTTTTGTGTAACACCAGCTGGCATCACTGACACTTGAGTGTATAGGTTAGAACAGACTTGAAATAGCCCGGCATCCAGCAAGCTTTTTCCCTCACTCACTGCAAAGACTTTCAACGCATCTCCTTCAACTGCTGAGGTGACCTCTCGAACGTGTACTGTAGTCTTGTGTGTGGTTGTATGTTAAAATGTGCCTTCCATAATAAAACCCGACACCACGGATGTCACACGAACGTGGAGGCCGGCAAACTCGATTACGCAAAGAATCAAATAGAGGTGTGGTGTACCGCCCGATTGTGGTAAGGCTTGGAAACATTCGAAAACTAACGCCCGAGCCTTTTCGACATAAGAAATCACACGACGGGTTCCCCAAGTTAGTCGAACCACCATTTCGACAATGCCCATGGCAGATTCGGTCACCTTACTACCGGGGAAACTCCGCGCAGCAGGGGCGCGGCGAGGGAGGACGCGGCGGGAAGTCTTCAGCGGCGTCTCGGGGGTCCGCGGGGCGCGACATGCTCAGTGCGGCGAACTTCCCGCCCCTGCCGGGGACGGACGGCGGCGGCGCCACGGCCGGGTCGACGCCGGCCACGTCGCCGGCTTCGTCGGCAGCGGCGGCGGATGGCGAGCAGGCGGCGGGGGGGGCCGCATCTACCGATGACATCGTAACTACCTAACAACCGTGTAAGTCATATTCGAAATCGTTCGAGAAATCAAGAGCAGGCTATGGAATCACCCTCTTCAAACCAGTTGCTGCTGACTTTTTCCACGGAAAAACTGCACAACTAACAGACGTCCGCGAAAGGACATACCATGTTTTCGTACGCTTCAGTAAAAAGGGTCTACACACATACATTTCATTTTTTCATCTCCGTAGGTACAGTGGATCGACCATCCACCCACCAGGCCACCCCACCCCTATGGCATGCTTCTCTCGTGAAAGAGCATATCTCCCATGTTCCTATTACCCTTATCTTAGAATTTAACTTATCACGGATTTTGTAAACGCCTGTTTGGCGGCAGACAGTACTTGGCAGAACATGCAAGCAACGACAACAACATTCTCCAACCGCGTCATGCTTGTTGAGCGTGAATCGGTTGCCACAAAGCTTATCCAACAAATCTTTCGCGCATTCGTCTGAAGCCTCAACCACTAAACACTTCCTGATTCGACCGCAAGATGTTTCGTTTTCGTTTAGCACCTACAGACTGATGTCGATGGTTTTCCCCATGGCCCCTTAAACAGCTTATATCGAGGCCCCCATTCCCCTGTTTTGCTCATGTTGTTTTTTCTTGCTGCCCCCGGCGTGCCTCGCAGGACCATTTCGCTCGCCAGAAAACATCGCCGGAGAGGTGAGGGGGAGAGAGAGAGAGAGAGAGAGAGAGAGAGAGAGAGAGAGAGAGAGAGAGAGAGAGAAAGAGAAAGGTAGAAGCAGAGAGAAGCGTTGGCGAGGATGGAGGAGGATGGTGCAGTGGAGTGGGTCTCGGGCAGCAGTGCAGAGGAAGGCCTAAGCAGCGCAAGAGCGCATTGGAACATGGTCTGTAAGGCCACGGGGGGAGAGTTTTACTGTGTGGTGAGAAAAAGAGGTGGCGGTTTCTTCTCGTCTTTCCTTGTTGAATACCGATGACACACAAGGAACTTGGCGAAATACCCTAGGTTGTAGTCGGGAAGTGCGACTCGTGCCGCCCATCGCCACCCCAGCATCCACCTACGGTGGCCCCGAAAGCGCGACCTGCTTACAATTGCAGCGCCTGCCTGACGAAAAACCTTGCACACATCGCCATGAGCTGCATTCATGCGTGTTTATCACCGTGTGCAATCAGAGCAGCACCAAATTTTGATTGAGTGTCGTCGTGGTCGGGAGCCACCTGCTCCGCCAACCGCAAATGACAGGCATAGTCACCGGCTTACGAGTTCGGGGATAACGGAAAGAAGCCACCGAGCCCTCCACACGCCCGCTCTCGCCTTCGTTCCCGACAGCCACCATCTGAAAGCTTCACGTATCCAGGTTAGCCAGGACCTTCTACGCCCCCACCCCCCGCGCGCTCTATCTCCCACAGCCGCTATCTGAAAAGATCGACGTCTACAGCTTGGCCATGACATTTTACACTATGCTGGCCCTCAAGCCACCCTACAAGGGCGAACCGGGAGCAAGGGCAAGGATCCTCGCCGGAATCCCGCCTTCAGTCAACCTCTCTTGGGATCGAGATTTCGTCGAGGTTGGTGTAGAGTTCATTGTTATTGTTGTCGTTGTCTTTACACTACCAAACGTTTCGGTCTCTACTGAGTACCTTCAAGTATCCGTGCTAGTCCAATTGGCGCGGACGCCTTCCGAGGTCGCGAGCCAACTGCCCTAAAGTGTGCTTCTGCAAAAAAAAACGTCAAGCGTATTTTCTGCAGGGAACGCCCCCTGAATTACCCACCTGTAGAACTCAAAGAACGGGAGGTACCACCTCACTGCGTCCGTCAGGCGCCAAGTACTCCTCTCTCTCTTCGGTCTCTTCGGTCTCTTCGGTCTCTTCGGTCTGGTGGATTTTCGATGACAGCTCACAATGCACCATAGATTTCAAAATCTTCCTCGAAGTATGAAGGGTCATGGGGATGCTATGCATATTGCTCATGACTTGATACTTTTTTCTGGGCTACTGCTGTAGAGTCCACTCCGGCTGCGGTGGCTCTTTCCACCCGAGCCTCTATCACACCCCACCTCCCGGGGAGGGCACGGAAGCTCCGAGACCGTTCAGACCGAACACAATACGGGAGGGGGCCGGAGATAAGAAACGTCCACTCTGGTCGAGGTCCAATTCTTTTGTCATCACCACCGTCGAGCACCCCCTTGTTCCATGAAAAAGTGTAGTGTCGGATCCTGCCTGAGCTGTGTTTCTTGACCCGTTTTTGTTGTGGTTGTTGTTGTTCGTGAACATTTGAGCCGTTTCTTTCTCTCAAGCCATCCCTCTTGACTGCGTGTCTGCGCTGCCACGCGAAACAAGGGCTCGCTCGGGACCGTGCTGTCGGGAAAAGCGAGGCAACAACACGCTAAGCCCTTCGAGTCTCCAAGATGTTTTCGACTCTCCGAGTATTGGGTTTGACCCGTCTCGTCGCCGGGTTTCTCGCGTACCTGACTACTTGCTCCCTCCCCACAGTTTCTGGTCACCCTTGTGAAACATAGCCTGGGCCGGCGGAAGCCCGGCATATATGGCTGCGTTCCAGTATTGATGGGATGTGAGGTCAATGGTCAACCAACTACGGCATGCGTTTTCATGGATACCTACCCCCCCGGTCTCTCTTTGAGCAGATACTCGGAGACATGTGGCAGCGCGACCCTAAGGCAAGGCCTTCCGCGAGAAGAGTGGTCGAGCGGCTGGAACTGCTTCAGAGCCGTAATGTTCTCGACCCCGAACAACAGCGGCAGCCATCAGAAAGCAAAGTTCCGAACCTCGAGCCACATCTATATGTGCGCGCTCGTGCCGGGGAAAAGCGAGCGAGCCGCCTGTGGCAACGAAACAGACACACCTGATCGTCACCTTTCCTATCTTCATACTGTTCATTTTTGGCACACGTATTTTCCTCCTGTGTTCATTTTGTATGTTGTGTGTGACAGTCTTTATTGTCGCAGCGCCGATAACTGCTATCTATGTGAAAATACGTTAGTCCCAGCGCGCCTAAGACCTGGAAACGCTTCTAAAGGTCTTGATTTAGGAGCGCGCGAGGGGGGGTCGCGGGGGGCGATTAGGCTACTCTCTGGATTGGACACAGAGACGGTAACAGATGAAGACGCAGCTCTGCAGACGAATGGACGCGTCTGCCGAGGTTTAAACGGTGAACTCGGTTTGTTCTATTTTTTGTCCTGTGTGCCAGTTTGTGCGTCCTTTATTGTCAGCATTGACCACATTAGTATTGCGTGTGCCTTTGAAATAGCAACGTGTCCGTGTCCGTGTGTCTTTACGGTAGTCTTTTTTCCATTGACCGCGATAAATGACCGGCCCATACAAGACGTCGGTGTTACTTTGTGTGTGTGTGTGTGAATAAAGCGTAAGCTCTTGTTGTGGTGCTCGGTTGGGTGGTACATACTTATGTTATTGTTTACTTTTTGTATTCAGGTCCCTCCAATTTGGCGGCGGCGTGTTGTCGTGCTGTCTCCTCTCTTCTCGTCTGTCGGACCAACACATGGCGCACGTTGAGGTTGGTATCCACGTTGGTATCCACTACAAGTAGTGTCAGCTCCGTGTCGTGATGCCGGGGGAAAGTCCAGTAATAGGGCGTTGTGAGCCAGTGATGATGTTGGGATTGGGGCCAAACTACACTCCTCGCGAGATTGGACATTGTTTAGACCACGTTTGTCTTTAGTCGTTCTTGTGCCTGTTGAACCTAATTGGTATACGTATACATAGTCGCAGTACAATGTTGTGCGAAATTTGCGATAAGACGAACGGGCGTGCCATGCAAGTAATGTTGCTATTAATTTATTATGATTTTTAGAAGTGCGATGGCACTCGACTCTGTTCGCTCTTACCAGACTGGGGAAGAAAGGGGTAGGGCATGCATGCATCTCTTGAATCGGCCAAAGGCGGTGCGTTGTTGTATCGGATTCCGCCCTGTGTTTGGGGTGTTCACCTTCCCCGTTAAGCTGCACATTTTTATTTCTATTACACTGCTTTTATTGTTCTTGTTGGTTAGGCCTTTGCGGGACACCCTGCATTGTTGCTTTATAGAAAATATTGTGGGTAGGGGGCTTTTTCTAATGTTGTCTTTGTCCCCCAGATTGACCCTCCCTCCTTGTCTCTGTCCTTGCCCGTAAAACAAAAAACGCCCGTGACAACATGGTCATAGAATAGGTTGCTTGTGGGTTGGTTGCACAAGCAGACTACTCTGTGCAGACTTCACACGTTTTTCTGCATGGATGGTCGCTGAACAGTTGGGAGGTAACAAACAGCAGTGCTGCTTCCCCCGTACCTCGCGCAGTTGGGGCCCGGCTGCTGTTGTAGGGCGTGGTCTACATTGGCTATTCTTCGCTTGTCGTAGGTACCAGAAGGAGGCAGGGGTGAATAAAAAACAGCAGATTGACTACAGTAGCGGAAAAAACGAACACATAGACTAAGGCCTCGCCAGGTCTGTGGAGCTCGTTGTTCTTGTTTGCTGCAGTACATCTACAGCAGTACTGTAGTACCATTTTTTTTGTTATTTTGCGTTTCGGTCGATCTCTTGCAGAAAGAGAGCGCACATCACCTGGACCGCCATTAAAAGTCAAGAGGTGATATTTCGTACCTCGAAGTAATGTCTACAGCAAGCAGTGTCTAGTTCGTCCTGTGGTAGTGTGGATTTTGCTGGATGGAGTCCCTTTGCCCTCGGTGTGACCACTACTGATAGTCTACTTACAGGTAGTCGGCCGTGGTGGAACGGTGGTGCGTAGGTTACGTCAGGGGTAAGAGCGGGACGTACAATTTCGAAAAAACATATAATCCATAGTCTACCACATTGACTCCAGGGCGCCATCTAATTGCCGTGCACTACTGCTGTATGTGGTGACGGCTGTGTGTACTACAGCACGTACATGTCTGAATGTATTGTACAGTAGAAGATTACGGCTGTGCGTGCGCTGGATAACGACATTCATTCCGCCTCCACCCCTCGGTGCTACAGCACACAGTAGTACACAGCACACAGCAATACACAGCAGCAATCGCCTGCTGGCACATAAGACGCTTATAGATTGCCGTGTTGACCACGTTGAAGCGGTGTAGGGGACACGTACGTGTATGAATAAAACCAAATACAGACAGAAGGGAGAGATCTTCGTTGTTGGTTGTTTCCATGTGATCTCTTCCGTGGTGCGGCCGTGTTCCCAACATAGACTGTAATCCGGATCCTCTAGTCTATGTACATTACCTTCATTTGCAGTTCATGTTTTGTGCTCGGTATGTTGCGTGTGGAGTGCCAACGTCCCGGTAGCAACGTGCCGAGACGAAGTCGCACACGACAGAGGCCTGTTGGGTTTTGATGTCCACAAAGGACTGTTGGCTTATTTGACTGTTGGCTTGGATTTTATCTCATTCCCAAAGAGCTATTTAGATATACCGCACCAAAGAAGTTGTGCCGCGTCCTCGGAACCTCGTCATAATCATGGAACCGCCGTCAAAACGGGAACATCCACCACGCGCCCACTCCGGCCACCTGCCCCACCCTGATCACTCTCGAATCTTCCCCCCTTGATACCCTCGCAACCAAGAATCTCTCAAGACACGCAGCAACCGAAACAAGATGCCGGGACACGACGAGGAGCACAAGGGTGCGGGTAGGCACGAGCACGGTGGCAAGGGAGAAGAAGAACACCACGGAAGGCCCGGACACAAGCACGTGAGAACGAAAAAAAGATGTTCCACCCACCTTCCACCCGGAAAATAGAAGACACACACAGAAAGACTCACCCGGAAATGATGTAGTCTAGAGTTCACAGAAATGAGAATGTTCGGTTCTTCATTCTGAGAGAGGGCACACGGCGGTCGGTCGTGCTGAAGGGTCCGAGTCCAATTCCCAAAAATACGCGCACTTGATTTATACACACACAAAAACTAACACGCGAGCGAGAGATTAATCAACGACTACAAAAGGTGTGCAACGGGATGCTATGATTATGATATATGGTAGTTTTGTTGGCCCGCCTACGGGCAGGCACGTTGTCGTGGGAGAGTTGACGGACGGGTGTTGCGTCTGACTCCGGCGCGTATCAAATGGTCGCACCTTCTTATCCTTAGCCACGAGGTGCTGTGCGCACTGTCGCTCGAACTACAGGAGTAGTAGCTGCTACTGCTGTGAGGCTCTACTCACGTTGCGCATCGCCGACGGCGTGATGAAAGACATGTGTGTGTAAACACGCGTGTCGTGCACGAGCGTCTCTGTTCACACCATCCCTGTTGGCCGTTTTTTCCCCAAATAATCCATGGACAAAGTTGTGGTTGAAGTATGAGTTTTCCCAACGCCCGTCGTGCTATATTATCAACTCACGTGCCGGCGAGTCATAGCAAAAGGTGCTAACGAAGAGAAGTATTCCGGTAGAACTGTAGAAGCCTTATCGTACGGCCTACTCGAACCTACCGACGTCGCCCACGATCCACGACAACTACCCCGTCCCCGCCCCCACTCGCCCTACTCGGCCTTTGACGCCATCAAAGTGGGTTGAGGAGCACGATGACCACGCTGACTGGTAGCCCAGTGACCACTGCGCTTCTGAACACGTACTACGCCACAAATTACTATATATTGTATGAATGTACGTACGTGTTCGGGCTAAGCCCCGCCCTTGAAAAGGATAGCCGTTGTTGTTGTTGTTGTAACATTTGCCGCAAAAAAGGTTGCCTACTTGAGAGTATAGCGGTGTGTCTCTCGTACTCACACACGTGCATTAGAAGAATGTGCGAGAGAGATTGCTCTTCGTAGGGCTTCTCGAAAAGGAGGCCTCTACGTCGATCTTCGCATACGCACAGCATCTCTCCAACGGCGCACGCGACTTACTACATGTGCTGCGCGCGTGCATTATATCCCCCCCACCCGTGTCCCTTGATATTCTTCTGTTCCCTGCCATAGCAGGAGGGAGAGGCCCCCGGTGGTAAGGGGCCCGGCCGCACGGGCGGTAGGCGGGGACACAAGGCAAAGAGGCGCCCCGACGACGACGAAGACACTGACGACGAGGACTCTGAGGACGAGGATGATGACGTAAGTATGCTACTGTAGCTGTTGTTAATTATCATTTTGATGGTTTTGCCTCTGTTCTTTGATAGGGGACGATCTTGTTTCAGGCCAAGGTGTTCAGTAATCAAAGTCAAACCATCAGTAGACTAGTCAGCGCAACGTTTCTAGAAGCCAAAATCAAGCAGTTAGACTCCAGTCAGCGCTGACTCGTCCACTGGTTTGATTGCGGCCTTTATTGGTACCCTAGGATGCCGGTGATCTTTCGTGGTACTGCTGGTCTGCATGGTGGTTAATGGGTAATGTCGCTACGTGTAGTACATTCTTTTCGAGCGAGTTCCTTCCTGTGGTCCTCCACCCCTCTAGCTTGTGACTAACGGATAATCCCCTTCCCTCCGCGGAACCCTCCCCCGACGCCGCATCAATGAATTCAGGCTGGCGACGAGGAGGAGGAGAAGTGCCCCGGCTTGCAGAGGGCGGGCCGCGTCGCCGCCAAGGCCTGGAAGAAGAGGACAGGCGCCCAGGGAAGGATCCGGGACATGACTCCGGCCCAGAAGGTGACGAAAATCAACCCCTCGCCGTGTCCTGACCACCCCACCACCAAGCAAGCTCCTCCAGACCCAAAACCATTGTTGTTGCTAGGTGCGCGCGCTGAAGATGTCCGAAAGACCTGCGTGCGCGACGAACACACGCACGGTTAACAAGACCCCACTGGGCGGAGAACACTCACGTCATCTGAGTATATTGCCAAACTCGCACACGCACACAAATGGGAGGGCAGTCTAGCCTCCCCCCATGGCCCCCCGTCGGGGGTCTAGGATCATGGTGTTTACGGTACTGTAGAAGCGTTTCTCCCCCTTATATTGGCCGCTCTGAGCTTGACGTACTTTCATTGGTCAGGACATTACCGCGGTCGACTGTATGATTGTAACACACATATACACACGAGGGGCGTCTGACCCCCTACCCCCCTCCTCTCCCTCGTTATACATTATTGCTGCGCCCCACTTGCAGAAAGAAGTACGGGAGGTGGTGAAAAAGGCTAGGGTGGCCTTCAGGGATGCTCACGGGCTGGCCCATGCGTAAACGCGCATGATCGAAACGCTCCCTGGTCGGACCCAAAGAGGGCGCGCCCGCTGCCAACAGACCGAACGGCCAGTCGTAGAACGAAACCGGAGCGGTCGAATTTGTCGGTCAAGAGAGTTTTTGAAAGGCGACCGATCAAGTTTTCCGCCAGCAGGATGAGTTCTTGCTTTTCAAGTGGAAACGAACTGTGGGCGTTTTTTTGTTCACGGCGTTTCGTTGGGTGTCGGCGCGATGGCTGGCGCCTGACCCAAAATAGAGGGGACCTTCAAAATTGGCAGACTTGCCCGCGGAGGAGCACTGAATACTGTAGGAGGACGATACGCGCATCGTAGCAAGTTTTTTTGTAAGCAAGAAGAGCGGAAAACGTATGTATGCTGCAAGGTCTACGTTCGGGGCGGCACCAGCTGCGGAACCAAGAGTGGCTCGCCGCCCGCCGCTCCAAAGGTTGTAGGTTATGGAAAGTCGAAACATGGGACTTCCAGTCTCTGGAGCGTGCTCATGTTGTGCATCCCTCGGCGGTTAGACCGCTATTGACCTCGCATCCTCGAGAGGACGGAGCTTCGTTCCCACAGAAGGACCGATGACCGATCATTCCTTCTCGCGTTGCCGAAGGTGACGCCACAACGTTTTTCACATCTACCTATCTATCCTGTCGGTACCTATTTCCGCCTCTTCAGCCCACTTCCTATGCCCTACTATAGCTGCCGCCTTCTCCTGGCTAGTCTATGCCTCAAACATCTTCTCTCCGTAACCTCCTTTTACTATTCTTTTTCCGGCCTCTGGAGAAACCAGATGGAGTAAGCGTTGCGTCGTTAACGTACTCCTACTCTTATGTAGAGTGGAACCGCACGAAGTATGACGCCCCCAAACTCTTGTGTCCAGAAAACATAACATGGCACATTTCTGTGCCAACCGGGATTCTCACCGAACGTCGTGCCCATCGCCCAATCATCTGTCTTAGACGACATGTGATTGGTGGGAAACGGGTATCTACCCGGCTCTACCTCTCTTCATTACAAACTAGGCGAATTGTTGGAAGTTCTTCCGTGTCTTACAATAATTGCCCGCATATGGGTCCGCTGCCCAAGTTTGAGGAGATTCTTTCATCGATGGTCTGCACGATGGACGTTACCCCATGTTGCCTTCGTCAGCAGCTACTATTACTGATTCACAGTATGCAACCAGCAATCCAAACCTACAACGATCGCGGTCAGCCGCTCAATCCTATCCCCCAAAACGCTTCTTATAGAACCCTACGACATGCAGTACGCATGTTAAACTCGATGAAACGAGATATTAATGGAGGCCTGCCGGCTGTGGCTGAAAAAAAGGGCAGCTCAGTCAGTAAGGAGCTCTGGTACCAGGAGGAGGAACAAGTGAGAGAGAGTACAGCAGCCAAGAAAAGGGAGAGTATCATCCATGTTGTTGATGATTTCTCCGACAGACAACATAACAAGATAAAAGGAGCGAGGGCTGCGAAAGTAAGGAAGAGTGCTACTTTCTTCGGTGAATGAAGAGGTTATGAGAAAAAAAAAAAACGAGAACTTTGTACAATTACTCCGTTCATGAAGGAAGTTGAACTTAGCGTTTAACCGATGAAGTGTGTGTGTGCGTGGTTTCGTACCATGTATCTTGCGGTGATTCATTCATTCAGTCGTTTTTTTAGTACACAGCGATTCCATCTCTCTCTATCCCAGAAAAAAGTCCACGATAGATTAGTAATCAATGAATTCATGGCGTCAGCGGAGAACTACTACCTTGTGTGTACGCGTCTGTGGTCATGAAGCTACCTTGTGTGTACTACCTTGTGTGACCTTGTGTGTACTACCTTGTGTGTCGTGCGTCTGTCTGTAGTACATAAAACACGCGAAGAAAGACTCCCCATTCGAGATATACCCACAGCAGTTGGAAGGGGTATGCTGAAGTATTTTCAGTGAGGGGAGGGAAACCTACCACAGACACCTTTCGGCATCGTCTACTATACTGTATTCTTGCGATTGGGGTCACACGGGAAGATAGGGAAAGGTTTGTGATAACGCGGATGATTTTTCATTCCCACTCCACGTTTCCTCGCGGTGTTTGGCCAATCCTGCGCATTTGGTGGCGCGGGAAGGATGAGAAGGTAGGGTTGATTCAGTACGAGTTCTCTCTTTTCTTGCGTTTACTCCCGACCATCCGCCCTCATTTTCTCCATCAATCACAATGCATACTTACTCGACACAGCAGCAGTAGTCTACTGTACAGTCTGCTGCGACAATATTTTCAGTCCAGGGAGTTCGAAGCCCAATCTAAGTAGAGTCAGAACGTTCTGAGGTTTGCGTAGGGGATTACAACATGTTGTCCCCAACCACCGCACCGGGCGGGGCGACCGGCAGCACTTTCATGCTTTCTTGTACTGCCGTAGCTTAGACTATGCGATCTACTCTCCACACCACACACTACACTACGGCCGTGTTCTGTCTTCTTGGAACGCGCCCTAGAACTTTCTCAAACCCCCTTGCCGACGGGACTGTCATACGGTGTTCAATCAGCGTTCTCGGAACTTTCGTTGTAATCATGGAACCACCACCAAAAACGAGAACATCCACGCGCCCACTCCACCTGCCCCACCCTGATCACTCTCGAATCTTCCCCCTTGACACCCTCGCAACCAAAAATCTCTCAGGACACCCAGCAACCAAAACAAGATGCCGGGACACGACGAGGAGCACAAGGGTGGTGCGGGTAGGCACGAGCACGGTGGTAAGGGAGAAGAAGAACACGGAAGGCCGGGACACAAGCACGTGAGTAGTCTAGACCTTGTGCTGAGATTGGAAGATACAGCAGGGTAGAGGGATGTTTTGGAGTATTCATCATGTTCGTTTCCGAGAGAGGGTACACGGCGGTGTTTTGGAGCGTCCGAGCCCTTCCACGAACGTACGCACGAACAACGATATACCCGCAAGCGTAACCCTTTCGATTCAAAGCGTCCAACTCATCAGCAGTACCACCTCATAATGCTGTGTTACAGCTACGTCGAACAAGAACATTCTATTTGTTGGCCCGCCTACATACTCACACATGCACCTTTTCGTCCGTTCAGGGTTTGCCGTTGGGCTGCACTAGTCTAAACCCTGTGCGCCTTCTAGGCCGCGTCTTGAACCTAGGCACGCCAGGCGCTATGCGCACCGTCTCGTGAGCTAACTGCTGATGTTTGCCTTGCTCGCAGTGCTTGCTTACACTCACATCTGTACGCAGTTTACCATTTCTGTTGTCATGTTGAAGTTCGGTTCTGTCTTTGTTTCGCAATTTGTCCGCGCCCGCATTTCTCCAACTGCACTTGGCGGCACTGCCACAGAGCGGATGTCTCTTGTACGGTTCCCTCAAGCAGCAATGCCCTTATGGTGGAGCCGTCAGAAGGGTAGCTCTAGTAATTCTGTTTAGCTTTCGAGAATCTGGCTTGACTCCGCACTTGGTTTTTCGAAGATCAATCACCGTTCTGCGCTACCCCTGCGCCGGTGAGACGTCGCTCCTCCCATCCATGCCGCTTGCCCACAACTGAATCCGGCTTAGAATTCCACCCGGGCGGGTATACGGATGTAGAGACTACATGTACCCTCCCTCCCCACCAAAGAATTTTCCGCATGGACGCCACAGATCGACCTCGGTGCACTAGATACGACTGCTGCAAATACACTACAGTTGCTTGTTCCATGTTCGCGCGTTCTTCCCGCCTGTACCCGGCAGCACTGAAAAGTCTGTTAGTTCCCATCGGTGCGCGCCTAGCCCAAGTGTCTAAATGTTAATGTTACCCCGTGCCAGCTGCCCAAAAGGCCACTCCAACAAGCTACCTCACTTACCGCTTCCAGCGCTGCCACGCGTTTTTTGTTGTCGCTGCCGATATACGTTGAGCAGAGGCGTATTAAATGTTGCGCCGTGCCAGCTGCCGCACCATTGCCCGCCGCTGTGGGATTCACCTCGTGTGTCTCAACCGGCAGGGACCATCGAGCACAGCTAAACATCAGTACGGTTCCCGAAAGGACTCGTCTGCTTCGTTCAAGAGTAGTGCACGTTCCTCGAGACCTCGATACGTGACTAATCTTCGGCAGCCTCGCTCTCAACCTTGTCTCTCATCAATTATTTTATTTTTTTACTCAATCTTTTTAACTACCTACTCGGAGTACTCAATCTTTTTAACGACCTACTCGGAGTATTTTTTATTTCCAACCTTTTGTACTTTTCCTGCCTTTTCAGGAGGGTGGACCTCCCCCTGGCGGAAGGCCCGGCCGCAGGGGCGGCAGGCGTGGACACAAGGGAAAGAGGCGCCCCGACGACGAGGACGACACTGACGACGAGGACAGCGAGGAGGAGGACGACGACGACGACTGCGTGAGTAAACTCGCACAGCAGCAGCAGCAAAAGTGTTCGTATTTCAGAAATACACCGACCACATGCCCAGATTCCCGGTATTCCGTATTCCGACAGCAGGCAAATATGCACAGCAACTAAATGGTGTGCATTGGTTGTAGCAACTAAATGGTGTGCATTGATTGGTTGATAGCAGCAACTGGCGGTGTTTATGCGTGTGGCCTGTGAGGACTTTCTTTCTTATCTCAAGCCAGAAAAATATATCGGAAATATACCGCTATTTTTCTACAACAGAAAAACTGTTAAGTTTATTCCAAAACCTTCTGCCCAAGTCAACGTCCTGAGGACGTGACGGGCGGTGAGTGCAAGGCCCGCGACTGAGAGGTCGGATCCGCTCCACACTGCAAACATCGTCACACAAGCGTCTCCAGTGATGGTTCTGTGGGAACAGTGATCCGTCCTCTCGAGGACGGTGGTTCAATTGTCTTAACCCCCCCCCCCCCCCCCCCCCTTTTCTCTTTTCTTCCCTGTGACCACCAAGAAGAAGAAAAATTTCCCCGCCTGCGGAAGGGTGGGCCCCTCCCCCGCAAAGGCTGGAAAAAAGAACAC